GCCCCTGGCCCTAACCCCCAGGCTGTGGCGCCCAGGCTATGGCCCCCAGGCTGTGACACGTGCCCCTTCCCCCGGCTGAAACTGCAGGTCCCAGTGAGCAACCTCCCCTGCTAGAGCAGCTCCCAGACACAGGGCAACACTCACGTTAGCAGTTGAGTAAGGATCACGCAGGATACAGCTCTGCACCAGCTAGCAGCAAGGCCTGGGGTTGGGGGCACGGGGCTTCCCTGCCCTCTGAGCCACTCTCCCCACTTCCACCAGCACAGCAGCCCTGAAGCTCTCCTTTCGGATTTATGGAGGCTTCCGCACAGGAGCAGACCACCGGCCCCGGCCTAGGGCTTCCCAAGAGCCAGCTCATTAACCTAAGGAGAGGCACCTTCCTCACCCTGCTCAGAAGTTCCGAGGGCTTTGGGAGCTGAGCGCCAGAAGCAGGGCAGATCAAACGGGTTTCTGACAGAAATCACAATGTCACCCTGCTAAACGAGCAGAGAAAACGGCTCCGGTGTTCTGCTTTCCAGACCCTCTCCCGGCTCTACCCGGCTAGCAGGCCGGAGCAGGCATCAGAATCCTGGTTCGTGCTTTACAGGGTGCTGGGTCCCAGAGATGCCTTCTCACGGGCTGCAAACCTAGGCGACATGGAACACTGTACAATGCAGACTGTGAAGCAGCCGAGGGTCAGGAGATGGTGTGATTGCCTTGCCAATGGGTTTCAGCTCCAGGCAAGTTCAGTATAGGGTCAATGTGACCAAAGAAATGACAGCAAAACGTTCTTGGGGTGAAAGGGTTATACCCCACTTTATTCCCAGGTGGCAGGTCAGTCACTAAAATCCCATTCACTCAGAGCGAGTCTGCAGGCAGCAAGCCCGTCTCTGACTCTGGGCCTCTCTGCACAGTCGTCCCGCACAGCCATCCCGCACAGCCATCCTCCGGGCCTCTCTGCACAGTCGTCCCGCACAGCCATCCTCCGGGCCTCTCTGCACAGTCGTCCCGCACAGCCGTCCTCCGGGCCTCTCTGCACAGTCGTCCCGCACAGCCGTCCTCTGGGCCTCTGTCCTCGGTGCTGCCACCACTCCAGCCTCTGCTCTGCTCTCCTGCAGCCTTGATTGCCCACAGGTGTGCAGTGAGCTGGTCAACCATGGCCAGGTGAGAATCCTGGCCACAGGAACTCTCATTTTATCCACAGTGATAAAGAAGTATTCTGAGATGCCCTAATATTAACCGACCTAAGGGCCAGAGAGGCAAGGGCGGATCATCAGCCAATAGCCGAGGACCGCAGTCAAGCAGAAAGCCCTCGTTCCTGCATGGGGTCATTCCAGCAGTCACCTGGGTCCCCAGAACCACCGCACCTGCCCCGCGTGTAACCAGTGCCTGAACGTCAGCGACCCGTGCAGGGCCTTCTCTGTGGACTGACCGCCCCTGTGGACTCCCCCCTTCACGTAAGCCCACCTCCCTTATCTGTAGCCGGTGTGCATTGAGAGAATTTTCAGTGTCCCATTGTGAATGTCCCATTTCTTGAGTCTGGCAGACTGGCTGCTTCTGCTAAGTGGCCCTGCTGCCGGTGGGGCAGAACGTCCCGCCTCGGGCTCTGCTCTTTCCACCTGCGTCTGCAACAGCTTCTAGATGGTTTATTTCTTCAATGTAGGCAGAGACCTGGTACCCAAGGAGCGCACAGGTGCCAAATTCAAATTTTAATGGATCCAAGTATTTAAAGAATAGGCCAAACAAGCAGATTTTTAGCCATTTAGAGCCTGCCTGCTCTTTGTGCCCAGGAGGCCTCATGTGACAGCCACTAAGCAGGTAAGAGAGGGCCAGGTGGTGACAAGCCCCCGCTGCTTCAGGGCTCTTTGAGCTGCAGTGCGCCCAACACTAACCTGCGTGGGCTGCCGTGCTGCTGAGCCACGTCACGGGACGCAGCCTTCTCCCACGGCTCCTTGCCTGCGTCTGGGCCATAGGTCCTACACCATCGGCCTTGAGAGGCCGTGAGGTGCCGAGTACCCCGCATCCCGGTCCCGCTGCCAGGAAGCTTCTTGACTGACACTGCCTCCTGGAGCTGTGTCTTTTTCCTTGCCCAGCCCCTAAATCCCTAGACCCTTACAGACCTGTATGCCAAATATGTAAAGAACCCTCAAAGCTCAACAGTAAGAAAGCAGCCCAATTAAAAATGGCCAAAAGATTTGGAAGCCACATCACCAAACGGGAGATACAGGAGGCAAATGTGTGCGGAAATATGCTCAACATTGCTAGCCATTGGCGACACCTCGATCAAGGCCACGACGAGATGCCGTTCTTCACTAATAGGATGGAGGTGGTAGGGAAATGGAGATGCCCCCAGAAGTATGTCCTTGTTTCTCTAGCTGAGGTCTAGGTGGCAGCATGGACCAGGCCTGGCTGCCCGGCTGGGGGTGGCCCAAATGGGGCACCTCATCCCCGACTTTCACCCAAACTGGGTTTGGCCAGTTCAGTGCACACCTAGAAGGTGGTGTCAAATAGCCCATTCCGGATGAGCTCATTGAAAAGTGTACTGGGGAACTTCACAGGGAAGCAAATTACCCTCCAGGGAGGCCAGCCCTTCCACAGGTCAATTTCCTGTTTACAAGAACTCTGGCATAAACTCAGGGTTTAACTCTATACTCTTGAAGCAGTCTGTTATTACAATTTTACCAAAAATGTAATAACCCTTACCAATTAGTATTTCCTTTGCAATTGTGGGAAATTTCTCATTTGGAGGGTCAGAAACACCTAAGATTAATTGGCATAAACTTAATTAGTAATATAAATGAAATATTTAAAATCAGTTTTTAAAGTGTAAAATATGTTCATTTAGAAACTAGTCTGTGCACTTGGGTCACAACTTCTCAGGCAAAAAGAATACTGGAGAAAATGTGTTACTTCCTGGGGGACTCACACCCTTCAACCAGAAGCCCCATTTTTTCCTGCAACTCAATTATCACATGAGATTTATCATAATGGACACTTTCTGAAAAGTATTCAAACAGACTTTACAGCAATAAATATCACTAGAAAGAAAAGGGAAATTTTCCTAATGATGAAAGGATCAAAACACAAAAATTTAAAAATCCCAAGAATCCCTGCACATATAGGAACCAAGAGCTGGTGCCAGCAGTCGGAGGGCTGGGCCCAATGCAGGAAGCACGTGGGGACCCTGGGCCGCATGGGAGTGGGTGGCAGAGCAGAAAGGGGAGGACCTGGGCCTGGCTGGCCCCGGGGATGGGGGCCGGGCCCAGGAGGGGAGCTGAGGGCAGAGGGCCGGCAGGAGGGCGAATGTGGGGCAGGGGATGCAGACCTCCCTCTGGGAGTGGGCGGCCAGTCTGCCATGTGACTCTAAGTAGGCACTCAGTGTAAGTGGGGCCTTTCACTGGTGGGGTGGCATCTGGCAGGACAGAGAGCAGAGGCAGGGGTCCTCCAGGCAGCACCCTGGCACGTAGTGCAGGGTCTCCAGGTGCCCGCCTTCTCCCGCGATTTTCCACAGGGTCCCAGAGGTGCTTGGAGACCCACATCCTGTAGAAGAACCTGAGCTTCTGAAGTCACGCCAGGGGAGGGCTAGGCCAGAACTCGTGCCCTCCTCCACTCGTGCACACACACAAACATGTAAACGCACGTATCCACACACACACACAAATACGCTGGGCGGTGCTGCCCCGCCTCCAGGTCAGCAGCCTGGGCTTGGAGATGCAAGGGGCCCTCCATCTGCTGGGGGTGGGCACGGTGCCCTCAGCTGCATCTTCCTGGGCCCAACTTGCACATTCAGCATCCCACCAGCCAGAGGACAGGAGTCCCCTCAGCAGGGGACTTGGGTTTTTGAGGTTCTTCAGGCAGACGGCCCCAGGGGGGTTGGGGGGAACGTTGTGTGGGTGTGGTGGGAATCCTGGGGGACTGGAAGCTGGGAACCAGACCCTGGTCTGGCAGCAACCCCGTGGCCTTGAACTTGACCCCTCCTGCCTGCTCCCCCTGGCTCTGCACAGATAGGGTTAGGGAGGGGGCTGCAGCATGCTCCCAGATGGCCTGTCTCCATGGGGCAGCCCCCCTCAGCGGTAGCGCCTGTGGGCTGGCAAACCCTCAACCTGCCTCAGGCCGAGGGCGCAGCTGCGCGTCCTCTGCTAGACTCACTTGGTTGCCTTTTCCATACAGCCCGTGAGCTCTCAGCCAGGAGCCGGTAAACCTGGCCAGGACGCCTCTGCCTCCCCCCAGGCCCAGCCAGTCGGCAGGTGGGGACAAGCCTGGGGTCTGGAGAGGTGCAAGTCTGGCAGAGCCGAGGGCCCTGGGGCCGGGAGAGCACGCAGCTGCCTGCCCCCCCATCCCCACTGCCGGTGGCCCTCCCGTGCCCTCCCACAGGCTCCCCGGTTTCTGAGGTAGTCTTGGGATCACCCAGGGGTGCAAACACCTCTGCTGGTCACTGCCTCAGCCCACTCGGACCTACCTCACTCCAAGAACCAGAATCCAGGTTAGAGGCAAGGTGGGGTGGCCCACCAAGCCAGGCATGACTGAAGTTCGAAACATTCCTCATTGTCTTAATTTCCTAAAGAGCTCTGGAAGCAGCTGCTTCTGGTAGCTTCCACACTGACCAGAGAACAGCAGTCCAGCACCGAGTCGCCGGCTCCCTCACTGCTTCACACACTGTCAGCCAGACAATCCACATGCTTATAAATCAATTCCCAGAGTTCCTCTCAAGCAATAAATTCCCTCAAGCATCATGACGCCATCCTTGTCTAGGTTTCTGGTAAGCATCTGGGGCTGGGTGAGCCTTTGTGGATAATTAAGGCAGAATGCTTTTTGGGGAGATGTCTAGCACATCACCAGTCAAGTGAGCCAGATGGCCAGGTTTGCCTGTTGAATTCCCCCATGGGAGGCCGAGTGCAGAGGGGCGCAGCTAGGCCCACCCTGGTCCCCGGCACAGCCGAGAGCCATCTGCCGGCCTGGCCAGGATCAAGTCCTACCCATCCCCCAGGTGACCCCAGCATTTACCAGCACAAATCTAGCTGTTACGTTTAGCATGTGATTCTTTAAGTATCAACACATTTAACAAAGAAACAGAACTCCAAGTCTTCTCCTGAAGTTGGTGGAGGTCCTTGTGACACAAACTGCTGCCTAAGGCCCTCACGGCCCCAGCAGCGAGGCAAGGCCCTGCTGGGGGGAGACACAGCTGTCACAGCACTCTGCATCTCCGTCAGAAAAACCACGAAGAGATCGCTCCGACTGAGGGGCACCGAAGCTGCAGCCACAACGCCCATCAGGGTGCAAACCTGCTCCCCGTAGCACAGTGTTCACGAGGAGTTAGGTGTTCACGTTGGGGCAAACCTGCACACACCCTATCAGCCACCAGAGCAGCGTCCTGCAGGGCCTGAGATGTGAGGCGACAGATGCAGGCATGGTGGTGCCCCACCTCCAGGCACGAGGCCGTTTCCTCCTCACCCCATCACGGGCTTCCTGACCAGAGTCACGGGCAGTCATGGCCCCAGGGGGGCTGACCACCCTTGAGGGCCCTGCTCCCTGACACTATCACAATGGGGGGTGAACACTGGTTCAGTTTAGCAACACTGAGCTATCCGTGCGGTGCCCGCATTAAGCAGAAATGAGGAGGAACATTAGAGCAGATAGCAGGCATAGCGGACCACGTGGCTCCTGCAGCCTTTGGGACGAGGACTGGGGAACGGCTTTAGCTGAGGCCGATAGGAGCAAGGCAGGGATTCCTATCAGACGTTGTCTCCAACTCCAAAGACCTCAGAATGCCAGAATGCAAGATGCCCTTCTGAGGGGAAGGGGGCTGGGGGCTCTTAGATGTCGGGGGGCCAGCAGAGCAGGGCCTCAGCAAACCCTGGGGGTGGAGGTGCCCTGGGCTGGCCTCTGCTCAGCCGGCTGGACTCCCACTAAGGCCAAAGATGGGCCAGGTCAAGAGGCATCAGCTCAGCCAGTGACCCGAGGCCCAGTGAGATGGCCTCCAAGCCACAGATGGGGAAACCACGCAGTGCCCACATGCAGGCAGCTGGCTTAGGAGCCCGTAAGATGCCATGACTTTCAAGGACCCCTCAGAATGCCCCGGGCTGGGGCCCCAAGCCCACTGCCTAGCAGTGGCTGCAAGGTACCATCCTTTCCCAGCTCAAGACAAATGAGGAGTGAGGACCCCAAAGGACACGTGAGGCAGGTCTCCCCAAGGGGACCACAGTGGCCACCAGGCACAGCCCAGAGGGGTTCTCACTTCCTCACGGAACTTCAGCCCCAATGAGCCCTAGTCTAGAGCCTCACGTGGGGTGCCCGCCAGCAACCGCTGCCCTCCTGCTGAGAAAGGAGCCGGGCTGAGCCCACAGAGCACAGGCCACGCCACATGTCACCGTTTAATGAAGAGCTTGGTCAGGGCCACCACCCTCCATGGACTCCTGCAGCAGACACCCCCCCACTAGCTGCCCTGGAGGCAGCAGGCCCTGCTGAGGGCAGCCTGCAGTGGCCTCGAATACGCAGCAGCATCAAGGCCGAGGCAGCTAAACCGAGGTGGGGGTGCCAGAAGAGGCGGGGAGCACAGGCTCTCCCTCCCAGGCTGGAAGGTGAAGGCCAGGGACAGTGCAGCCTCCCGGAAGCGCTCAGCAGCCCCTCTGCAGACCGAGGCCACAGAAGACAGCCCTCGGGTCACTGAGCTGGGGCCAGCTGGGCAGTGACCACAGGCAGCCTCGGGTCCACCTGCAGGGCAGGTGCCCAAGGCCTTGGCCAGAGGCACCAGCGGCTGGGGCACCCCCGCCCGCTGCTCCTCAGGCACTGGGCGCGTGCCCCTCACGGCTCTGAGGCTGCCCAGGCAGGGCCCGCGCGGTCCCTACAGGTCCGTGACCTTGTTCTCCACGGCGGCTGCGATCTGCTGGAGCCGGTAGCCCAGCTGCATCTTCTGGGCCACGCCGTCCTCCTCTAGGGCTGTGATGATCTGAAACGGCGACCACCCCGAGGCGTCACGGGGCCAGGGGCGCGGCAAGCACCTCGCCTCCTTGCTGCAGCTAAGCTGCTGGGTTTCCAAAGGCCCATGGGCTGCACCCCAGACCCAGCGCTCCTGCTACAGAAGGCCCACCTCCCCTGGTAAGGCCCTGTGGTGAGGTAGTGGCCCCCCGCCCAGGAGAAGACAAGGACTCTCTGAATCCCCACGTGCCAGGAGCCGGGCAGGGAGCAGGGGGCCCAACAACGACGGCCAGACGCCATGCTGCTCTTAGGGGCTCCCTAGTGGGAAGGCAGCTCCCCAGACCTGAGCGACTACACAGACACAGAGGAAGCGGCGGGAGGCAGGAGCCCCGGAACCAAGGCTCCACCCACCTGGTCGTAGTATCTGTTGATGTACTTGTAGAGCTCGTGCAGGGCCACTCCTGCCCCGAGGCCTCCGGAATGGTTCTAGGGAGCAGGTTAGAGAAAGCCAAGGATGAGGGGCCATGGCGGAGCAGGGAAAGGCCCCAGGGGCGGGAGGCATGGGCCCCAGAAGCACGGGGAGGGCCGTACCCGGGACAGCTCGGCCAGGACAGAGTTCATCTCCTGGTCGCTGGTGGGGACGGCCTGTCTGATGTCTGCGTAGTACCTGCAGAGACCACGGGCACAGGCTGCGGGGTAAAAACCCACCCTCACTGCCCGCGGCCCGTCGGGGCTCCGCCTTACGCACCACCCACGTGCCCAGCAGCCCCTCACCTTTCCACCATCTGTTTGTATCGGGGAATATCACGTGCATACAGCAGCTTATTGATGGGGGAGTCCTAGCCGCAGGGGAGACGGGAGAGGTGAATGAGGGCAGGGCAAGGTCCCGCCCCGCCCCTCCTCCGTTCTACGACTCAAAGCCCGGAGTCCCAGAAAGCCCCAGCCCCAGGGACGCTTCCACAGGGCCTCCTCTCCACCCTCGCAGGTCCAGGCTTCGCACCCGGTCACCTCAAGCTTCCCCAAGACCCCACGGGCGGTCCGAGGCCTCCCTCCGCTCCTCCCCGAGGCTCCCGGGGCGGGTGCGCGCACCGCCCGGCCGCCGCACCCGCGCCCCAAGGCCGCCTGGCCCACTCACACGGCCCAGCTTGTGGTCCGCCAGGGTGCAGGCGTCCACGAAGGTCTGCGCGATGACCAGGAGCACCGCGTCCACGCTGTCTGACGTCTGCACGTCGAACACAAGCTGCGGGTTTTTGATTATATTGATCCAGAACCTTAACGGCAAGCTGCGGGGGCAGGCAGGGCCGGTGAGCGTGCTGGGCCGGGGCGGTGGCCCCGCTCCCGCGTTCCCACGCCCACCCCCGACCTGACGCCCGTCCCCATGTTGCCCCGCCCACCCAGCCCACAGGCACGCCTGCCCCGACCTCACGCACGCCTGTGTCCTTATGCCACGTCGCCCCGCCCACCCGCTCCCACGTCGCCCTAATGCACGCTCCCGCGAGCGCATGCCCACATGCCGCCACGCACGTATGACACCACGCACCCCCCCTCGTTGCCCCACCCACCCCCACGCACACACGCCAAACCCACGTCGCCCCGCCCACGCAGCCCACACTCCACCCCGCACATCCCCATGCCCCCACGCGTGCCTCCATCTCACATATGCACACCCGCTCCCACACGCCCACATTGCGCTGCCCGCACACTCCCACGCACGCTGCCACTTCACACCCATCCACAGGCACGCTCCCATGTCGTGTGGGAGCATGCGGCGTGCGTACAGGGTAGGCAAGGCGATGTTGGGATGTGCGTGGGGTGATGACAGAGCGTGCGAGGGAGCAGGCCGGGTGACATGGGCGCGGGCATGGGAACGCGGGCGCGGGCACGGGCACACACGCACGGTTCCACATGGCCCCGCCCACTCAGCTCGCGTGCATGCCGCGCCCACGGTACCCACACCCTCATGTCATCACGCACGCAGGCTCCCACGTCGCCCTGCCCGCCCTCCTCCCGCCCCACCTGTTGGTCTTCCAGATGTGCACAGTGTCCTGGTCAGCAATGCCGTGCTGCTGGGCCTGCTCATCCAGCAGGTCAAAAAAGTATTTCACGGCCAGCGGCACAGAGCGGCCGGTGCTGAGGGTCACCTGGAACAAGTCGTCCACGAACTTCTGCAGGGTGCCCTGCGGCGGGGCACACAGGTGCTGTCAGTGGGGCCAGCTCGCCGCCAGAACCTTGTGCACTGGGCCTGCAGGGCCCACGCGCCCCACCCGACAGGCTGGCCCACCTTCATGGACAGCAGGCGGGTCAGGTAGATCTCAGGGATGGCCTTGGCCCGCTCACGCTCCCCGCCGCGTAGGCTGCCCCTCCGAGGCCGGGCCTCCGGCTCCTCGCTTGGCTTCACCAGGTGCCACGGCCGGATGCCCCCCTCATCCACATCCTCCAGCATCGGGGTGCCTGTGCCGAGACCCCGTGCCTCTCATCAGGTACCACCTCCCTGGGTCCCCAGGGCCCCAGCTGCAGGTAGGGCACCTGGTTGAGGGCTTCTGTGGGTGGAAGCACAGTGGACACGAGCCCACCCCGAGGTCCAAGGACCTGCCCCTGTTACTGGGGACTGGGACTCACTCTCTCTGGGGACATAGTCCTGGCTTTCCCGGAGGACATGCTTGGTGAGGCAGGGGACCAGGGCCACCGTCGCTCCGTCTGGCACCTGTGGACGACAGCTGGTGAACCCCGTGCCAGCCTGGGCCCCCCAGACCCCCTCCAGCTCTCACCCCAACCTTGTAATGCTGCAGAGTGTTCAAGCGCCTCCACAGACCCTGGGCCTCGGAAGTCACATCCTCGTCAGAAAGAACGAGATGCCCGGCCACCCCAGACCGCCACTCTGCAAGGGCGAGGGGCGCTTGGTCCAGGGCTCCCAGGACAGTCCTCCCAACGTGGGGCCTGTCCCCCACTGGGACACGGGACCCCCATCAGGGGGGCATCACCCAACCTGCCCAGACCTGGAGCAGGACCCTCGCCCGCGAGGCTGCCCCACAGCACCTCCGCCCGCCCAGCCCGGGGGCCCGGGATCCCACCCTCTACCCTCACCGACATCCAGAGTGCGGGCATCTGGCCGCTGGGTGAGAGGCACGCCTTTGTAAAGTTGGTCCAGCATCTTCTCCTTGGCCTGGGAGATGGTGTCACAGTCTAGGACCTTCACAGACACTCCCGGGGCCTCTCCTGCCCCTGGCCCCACGGCCAGCAGTGCGTTCAAGGTCTATGAAGGACACATGGGAGCTGTCAGGGTTCAGGTCACAGGTGGAATGACCAGGATACAAGGACCGGGACACCCACGGGGACGCCACTGCCCCTGACCTCGAAGCACCAGCCAGCCCGATGCTTGTCTCCTGGCGCCCCTGCCTCCCCCAGAAGCTGTGTTCCCTCCTCTGTGGCCCCAGCACCCTGTGCACTAGTCAGTGTCTGCGGGGCAAGGGGCAGGAAAAATGGGTCAGCACAAGTGGCTCCTAACTCGGGGCCCAGGTTCCTGGCTGGCTGGCCAGGCCGAGACCCTAAGGGCACCCTGCATGAGAAGCAGGGGGTACCCACCAGCCTGGCAGAGAAGCCTGTATAGGATCTCCCATGAGAACTCTGCATGGGTCACCAAGGGGGAGGCAGGCCCACCAGAGTGGCCCTGGCCGGTTGGGCACCATATCCCTGGCAGGATGCTGACCACTGGTCAGCAGACACACAGGCCCTGGCCTGGTCCCGGGTAGGGCTGGCTGCGGCCACCTGACACCATCCCAGCTGGGCCTTGCTGAGGCCCTCTCCTCACCCTCCCAGCAGCCAACCAGAGATCAGGCCACGACCCACACAGACCCACACAGTGACCCCACAAGGGCTGACTGGCATGTGCACAGATGCTCCCCACCCCAGGACTGACTCTGGTACATGCACGCCTCTCTCTACCCTCAGGACTGACTCTAGTGCACGCAGAGATGCTCCCCACCCGAGCACCGACTCTGGAATGTGCACGCCCCCTACACCTCCCAGGACTCCAGTGTGTGCAGACATGCCCCACCCTAGGACTGACTCTGGCACGCGCATGCCAGCTCCCCAGGACTGACCCCGGTGTGTGCACCCCCAAGACTGGCCCCGTGCACCAGGTGCCCCCTCACCAGGGGACGGTACTCCACATCCTCTCTGAGCAGGCGGTTGTCGTTGAGGGTGTACTTGGCTTTGCCCGTCACACTGTCCACCGGGCCCTTGTCCACCTGATGCTTAATCCCACGGAAGAGCATGTACAGAGGCTCCCCAACTGCATCCTGGGGGAGCAACAGGCAGTTAGGACCCTGGTGTGAGGACAGCCCATGCTGCCGAGGGGATAGGATGCAGGCTCTGGAGCTCAAGGTGACGGAGAGGCTGGGCTGGGGCCACGTGGCTGGAGAATCCTGCCCCCACGGCACTGCCACCCGTGCGTCCCTCACCCTGACGAAAGTGTACAGGCAGATGGACATCCAGTTGGTGAGCAGCTTCTCCACCACGGTCTCTGTTCTGGGGCAACAGGCAGGGGTGGGGTCAGCAGGAGGGGTCACAGGGCTCTCCCCTCCCAGGCCCGGCCCCAGAGGGTCCGGCTCGGCTGGCCCGCAGCCCCACAGCCATAGACCTGCGCAGCATCAGCTTGGGGTTCCTGGCCACACACTGGGCCACCAGGTCAGTGAGCAGTGTGCGTAGAATGTCGGTGAGGTACTCCAGCTTCCCGTGCAGTGCCACGGTGAGCAGAGAAGCCACGTAGGCACGGTCCCGGGCCGAGAAGGTGCGCTGGCTCTCCAGGGTGTGGATGAGCTGGTGGAGAGGGGGGTGCTCAGGACAGGGTGGGAGGGGGGCTGGGGGTCCCAGGAGGGGACGGGGAGGGAGGTTGGGGACGGCGCGGAGCACCTTGGTGAGGAACAGCTTGCTGTTGAGCAGGTGGGACAGCTGCCCCAGCCCGTGCTCCACGGTGGGCCGCCGGCTCTCGGGCACGCCCAGGTCCCGGTGCAGGGGCGACTCCCGGTGCCCTGGGAAGAAGACCCTCTCGGCGTACACCCTGTAGTCGTGGAAGGGGATGCCGCTGCCCAGCAGGTCACTGGTGAGGTCGGTCATCTCGGTCATGAGGTCTGTGGGCAGAGGAGGCCGAGTCGGGCGGCCTGAGGCCAGAGCCGGCACGGGTTGGGGGGGGCACCCCCTCCTCACCTGTGAACTCCTTCTTGCAGCGGTCCCGCACGCTGCTCTCCAAGTTCTCCAGCTGTATCTGGACCTTCTTATAGTCCCGCAGGGCCTGTTTGCTCTTCCTCCTGCCGGCACCAGGGTCAGGAAGGGAAAGGTCAGGGGGCCAGAGCCCCTTCTGGGTCCCACAGCACCATGCGGGCCAAGCCAAGGCCTTGCCTAGAGTAATTTACCCATCCCATCCCTGGGCAGTCACACCCATGTCCTGTCCAGCCCCGGTATCGGCAAACTACAACCAGGCGGAATCTGGTCCGTGACCGTTCTCGTAAATAAAGATTTGCCGGAACACAGCCACACTCAGGTGTGTGCGCGCCGTCCACAGAGCCAGCAACAGTGACTGTGCCGCCCTTCACAGAGTGTTTGCTGGCCCCTGTCTAGCTGCCCCTTTGCAGTCCAGCCAACCCCGCCACCTACACCAGCCCAGCCCCATCTGGCCGCACCCACCTGTACATGAGGACGATGACGCTGACACCCAGAGCCAGGAGAGAGGCGCCCACCCCCAAGCCCACCTGGGCTGCCACGGGGAAAGCCACGGGGCCCTCGCTGTCATACTGCACGCGGCCCAGGGAGAAGTGCAGGTTCCCCATGTCCACCTGTGCAGAGATCCCGTGAGCCAGGGTGCCGCACCTACAGACACCCAGCCTACCCAGGGCCTGCCCCCTGACCGTGAACTCGGGCAGAGGGTCGGGTGCCCCCTGCAGGGGGTGGTGCTGTGCCAGGGGCTGCTCCTCGGGCGGCTCGCAGTACAGGTGGTGCCGGGTGAGGGTCTTCACCACACAGGGGCCGTCCCCTATCATGGCCAGCACCTCCTCCTTGGACATTGCAAGGTCCAGGTTGTCCCCCTGGAATATAAGGTCACTGACAGGTCACTCAGCTGGTCCTGAGACAGAACCCCAGGAGCTGAAGGTGCCCCCCTCCTCCGCATGTTGGGGGAGTGCCCAGATGGCTCCCAAGCAGCCCTTCCCAGTACTTCCCTACCCTCCTCCTCGAGTCTTCACCCCCAGAGCTAAAAGTCTGCAGCATATGAAGCCACCCCAAGTCCTGCCAGGGACCCATCAAAGCCAGAGTCCCTCCTGTATCTGCTGGCCCGCCAGGTGGGGGATGAGGCGCCGTCTACGTGTCCTCACCGGGCACCTACCTCTGCACGTCTGAACTGGCCAAGGGTGGGTCTGTGTGAGGCTGCCTGGAGGGCAGCAGCCCAGGCGCCCACGTATATGCCACGCTATCTGCTACTGAGTGTGCCAGACCACTCCCATGTCCCGCAGACACCTGCCATGGGGTGGTCAAGCCCCTGCCCAGAGCATCAGGCTGGGCACCCACGCTGTCTCCTGCCTTCTGCGTGCCACCCTCCCTCGGCCACAAACAGCAGTACAGCTCTGCCACAGGAAGGTCCTGGGTCTCCACGTCCAAGCAGGAATGGTACCTCCACGGACAGCACGCTCCCAGGCTTGTGCCGGAATGGCCTGGTGGGGTCCTCGGGGTTGAGGGGCTGCAGAGTGGGGTCGGCCTCATAGGAGAAGGGCGTGGGGCTCAGCGTTGTAAAGTCGAAGACCAGGTTGTCAAGGATAAATTCCACCCGGACCCAGGGGTCTGTGGGCAAGCCCGGGAGGGCAGGCGTGGGGCACGTGATCAGCCGGGAGGAGGCGACTAGGCACGGCTCCTCGAACTGGGGCAGAGGGAGAGGCGGGAGGGTCAGAGGCCGCAGGATAGGGCCCGGCAGAGCCGGGAGAGCCACCCTCACGCACACCCCGTGGCCAGGAGGTGCCCAGGGCTGTCCTACATGACGACCCCCACTGCAGGCGCCGAGGGAGCAGGCTGCCTCCGGCTCGACGCGGCGCCTCTGCTCCTGACCCTCGCTGGGCTGCAGCGCCTGCACAGCCACTCGCATCCTTGGCGTCTGTACCACGTCTAGGTTCTGACCACGGACCCGGACCACACGCCCTCCGCTGCAACACAGCCCGTCAGCACCGTGACTTGGGAGTGCCTGGCCCAAAGCTCCAACCCTCAAGGAGAGCGCAGCCCCACGGGGAGCCCGCGGGGACCACCCGTCCTGTGCCGGGCCGCCAAGTCCTCGACCGCACCTGACGAAGCTCTTGGTGGGGCCAGCAGAGGTGACGTTGGGGTCAGCTGTGTACTGGAACTGGCTCTGCAGCCTCTGCTCAACGGCCCCAAACCACACGGCCACGGGGAGCACGGCAGGTGTGTGCTGTGGGCCCGTCTCACACTGCAGCCGCTCGGCCCGCGGCTCTGGCAGCCTAGGAGGGCAGCAGAGGGGAGGTGCAAGGGTCACCCCAGGCCCCCGGGCCCACTTGGCCTCTGCTCGTCGCCCTTCCATGCTGACTGTAAGGTCCACAGCGGGGCCCAAGGCTGCACCCCGACGGCCTGGCTTCCAGAAGTCTGGCCGCCTGCGCTGGGTTGGACTGGGCCCTGCCCTGCTCTCCCCAGCACCCCCCGCCCCAGAGCACATGGTGTCTGTGGAAGGAGAATGTGGCCCTCACAGGCAGCAAGGCTGGTCTCCAACGACCACTCGGATGTCCTCCAGCCGCCCGGTCAGCAGGCTGGAGCCGTGCAGGGTGAGGCGGGTGCCCCCAGCCCTGGGGCCGCGGGCCGGGCTGATGGAGAGCACCTTCGGGTCCTGTGGGAGGGGACAGGGAGAGGCAGACAAGGCCCTGGGTGGTGGGCCCCAGGAAGGTGAAGCCAGCCGGGCTGGGGGAGCCCCACAGGGACCGGCCATCAGTAACCAGCAGGCAGGGCATGGTGGCTGCACCTGGTAGGCAAAGAGATGCTCTGAGACACCACGTCCCCTTCCGGGCACCTCCACTGTCACGGCGCCTGCCACCTCCTTGCCAGCGCTGGCGGTGATGCACACGAGTCTGTGGGCACAGCACGGGCCGCCCACGGCCCCCAGACTGACCCGGCTGCTCCCCCCCTGCTCCCAGGGGGTAGAGACCCTCCCACTTTGGAGGGACTCCCATGCACAGCCACAGCTCTGGCATCTGAGCATCAGCAACTGCGGTGCCGGAGGCTCCACAGCTGGAGCCCCAACGAGGAGGCGGCTGGCCGGGAAGCTGGCTGTGGCGCAGCTGAGCTCACGGCAGGGCCCCGCCGGCCACGGTCACTGTGTGGCCCAGCTGTGACGCGCTGGAGGCTGGATTCCTCATGGAAATAAGGCCCCGGGAGCCGCAGCACCTCGGGGGACGGAAGGGAAGAAGGGAAGGCGGGCGACCTGGGAGAGCAGGGCCCCGCCAGGAAACAAGCCCGGGCACATGAGCTCCTGGAACGTGGCGCCTGCAGCAGTCGCACTCGAGGCTGCTGCTGGCACTCAGGAGACCAGGCAAGTGGCACACGCGCTGCACAGGAGGGACCTCAGTCGGAATGGGCTTTAGCAACTTTATAAATCGCTTCCTAAGTTACTGCAGTCTTGTGGCTCCAGGGTCATTGACATCTAAGCCACCACCTAACGTCAAACACGTTTAGGTACATGCTCTAGCAAAGTCTGCTGTAAAATAGATTCTGCGGTCCCGGCCCAGGCCTCAGAATCCTGATCTTGGAGCGCAGGGTCAGAGGGTCCGCTGTGGGGGCTTTGGGCAGACTCTCCAGGTGACCCTGGAATGCAGCCAGGTTTGGGGCTTGCTGCCTGTGGGTATCTCTGGAGGAATGTCAGCGTGTGCACCCTTGGGACCCCGCAGCTGCTGGCTTGGTGGCCATGGCCCGGGACTGCAGACTCCAGGAGCCTGGGGAAGGCAGCAGGGGTCCCGGGACTGGACAAAGGAGCCTGGCATTCAGCAGGTGTGTGCTTCCCGCCCTCCTGAAAAGCCTGCCGGGGGTGGGATCTTTCCCTGCATGGTGGGAAGGCCAGCCCCTGAGCACAGCAGTCTGGGTTCTAAGGACGCTGCTATCACGACTACACGGAGGCCACTCAGAAAGCCAGGTGGGAACAGTCACCACTCAGCTCTGGGCAGTGACCGCGGCCTAAGCTGAGGAATGGATCCCGAGCAGCCCAGCCAGGAACCTGCAGGTCTGTGCGTGAAGCCAAGGTGGGCACTCCTGGACCTCAGTGGCAACCCCGGCTCTCAGGCATTATGATCAGAGCCAAGGAAGGGGGAGAGAGGGGCAGATGAGTGGAGGCAGGGGCCCTGGGCAGGAAGGCGGCGTGGGCCCTGCTCCGGCAAGCCCACCTGCTGGAGACCTGGTACTCCTGAGTGTCCACCGCACAGGGCACTCCAGCCACCGTGACTGTGTCCCTTATGTCCTGCACGTGTTGGCCCAGGTCAGAGCCCCTGATGGTGACCCGGGTGCCTCCATGTATGTGCCCAGTCAGTGGCTCCACCTGGCCCAAGACAAGGACTTCTCAGCTCCAGCAGCACTGACCCTTGACAGCCGGGAGGCAGCCCCCACCTCCCACCTCTGGGCCCTGGACACAAAGCACCACACCCATCCTCAAGGGCAGCGGCGAGGAAGGTGGCCAGCATTTCAACACACCGAGAGGATAAGGGGCGCAGGGCACTGGGTGGCCACGGCCCCGGGCCTCCCACAGGCCTTCCGGGCCGTGCAGCGTGGGTGCACCCCCATGCACCATACACAGTCGTACTGGGGCTTGGCGGTCTGGCAGCGGCTGCAGTCCTGGTGTCCCACGGAACAGTCATACAGCACAACTGGGGAGGCAGACAGACATGAGAGCGTGAGCGGCAGGCCGGGAGGAGCCCGGCAGCGCCCGCAGCCCCCACAGCTCACCATGCAGCCCATCAGCACCGTCCACGCGCAGACTGCCAGCCCAGCGCAGAAACAGCCCCACACGGAGCTCCGGCTGCAGAGCCTCGTAGCTGAGCTGGAGAGAAGGGGGTGGTTCAGGGCCGGGCTGGGCAGGGTGTCAGAGAAAGCATGGGAATGACTGGTGCGAGTACACAAGGCCAGAGGTCAGAGCTACCGAGACCTCCTGGGGACAGGGTGGGAGGTCAGAACTGGAGCCCGCACCTGGTGCTGCTGGCAGGTGACGTGGCACTGGTCCCCTGGGGGCAGCTCACACTCCACCTGGGCCTCCAGCACCACCTCGCGGTCCTCCAGCTCCATCACACACTTACTATCTCCTGGGCTGTCCTGGGGGCAGAGGGCATGGCTGTGGGGCAGCTTCCGAGCTAGCCTGGGCTGGGGTTGAAAGTTGGTCCCTGCCCTCCTCCCCACCGGGCACTCCCACAGCTTGTCAGTGGCACCTGCAGGGGTGACACGCTCACCTGGAAGAGGCGCAGGTTCCTGCCCAGCAGCTGGACCTCCTGGGCCACCAGGACGGGAATCAGCTCAGAGCCCTGGATGCTCTCCACACAAGGGCAGGCGCTGGCCCCGCAGCCCACCTCTCCCTGTGGCACCGAGAGCGAGGCGGTCCACTGTGCCCCCTGCTGCTGCACGGCCCTCCCCCGCAGAGCCCCAGGGCACAGAGCCCACCCTGTCCCGGGCCTCCTTCCTGGGCCTGGCCTCACCAGCTCCNTCTGTGGCCCCAGCACCCTGTGCACTAGTCAGTGTCTGCGGGGCAAGGGGCAGGAAAAATGGGTCAGCACAAGTGGCTCCTAACTCGGGGCCCAGGTTCCTGGCTGGCTGGCCAGGCCGAGACCCTAAGGGCACCCTGCATGAGAAGCAGGGGGTACCCACCAGCCTGGCAGAGAAGCCTGTATAGGATCTCCCATGAGAACTCTGCGTGGGTCACCAAGGGGGAGGCAGGCCCACCAGAGTGGCCCTGGCCGGTTGGGCACCATATCCCTGGCAGGATGCTGACCACTGGTCAGCAGACACACAGGCCCTGGCCTGGTCCCGGGTAGGGCTGGCTGCGGCCACCTGACACCATCCCAGCTGGGCCTTGCTGAGGCCCTCTCCTCACCCTCCCAGCAGCCAACCAGAGATCAGGCCACGACCCACACAGACCCACACAGTGACCCCACAAGGGCTGACTGGCATGTGCACAGATGCTCCCCACCCCAGGACTGACTCTGGTACATGCACGCCTCTCTCTACCCTCAGGACTGACTCTAGTGCACGCAGAGATGCTCCCCACCCGAGCACCGACTCTGGAATGTGCACGCCCCCTACACCTCCCAGGACTCCAGTGTGTGCAGACATGCCCCACCCTAGGACTGACTCTGGCACGCGCATGCCAGCTCCCCAGGACTGACCCCGGTGTGTGCACCCCCAAGACTGGCCCCGTGCACCAGGTGCCCCCTCACCAGGGGACGGTACTCCACATCCTCTCTGAGCAGGCGGTTGTCGTTGAGGGTGTACTTGGCTTTGCCCGTCACACTGTCCACCGGGCCCTTGTCCACCTGATGCTTAATCCCACGGAAGAGCATGTACAGAGGCTCCCCAACTGCATCCTGGGGGAGCAACAGGCAGTTAGGACCCTGGTGTGAGGACAGCCCATGCTGCCGAGGGGATAGGATGCAGGCTCTGGAGCTCAAGGTGACGGAGAGGCTGGGCTGGGGCCACGTGGCTGGAGAATCCTGCCCCCACGGCACTGCCACCCGTGCGTCCCTCACCCTGACGAAAGTGTACAGGCAGATGGACATCCAGTTGGTGAGCAGCTTCTCCACCACGGTCTCTGTTCTGGGGCAACAGGCAGGGGTGGGGTCAGCAGGAGGGGTCACAGGGCTCTCCCCTCCCAGGCCCGGCCCCAGAGGGTCCGGCTCGGCTGGCCCGCAGCCCCACAGCCATAGACCTGCGCAGCATCAGCTTGGGGTTCCTGGCCACACACTGGGCCACCAGGTCAGTGAGCAGTGTGCGTAGAATGTCGGTGAGGTACTCCAGCTTCCCGTGCAGTGCCACGGTGAGCAGAGAAGCCACGTAGGCACGGTCCCGGGCCGAGAAGGTGCGCTGGCTCTCCAGGGTGTGGATGAGCTGGTGGAGAGGGGGGTGCTCAGGACAGGGTGGGAGGGGGGCTGGGGGTCCCAGGAGGGGACGGGGAGGGAGGTTGGGGACGGCGCGGAGCACCTTGGTGAGGAACAGCTTGCTGTTGAGCAGGTGGGACAGCTGCCCCAGCCCGTGCTCCACGGTGGGCCGCCGGCTCTCGGGCACGCCCAGGTCCCGGTGCAGGGGCGACTCCCGGTGCCCTGGGAAGAAGACCCTCTCGGCGTACACCCTGTAGTCGTGGAAGGGGATGCCGCTGCCCAGCAGGTCACTGGTGAGGTCGGTCATCTCGGTCATGAGGTCTGTGGGCAGAGGAGGCCGAGTCGGGCGGCCTGAGGCCAGAGCCGGCACGGGTTGGGGGGGGCACCCCCTCCTCACCTGTGAACTCCTTCTTGCAGCGGTCCCGCACGCTGCTCTCCAAGTTCTCCAGCTGTATCTGGACCTTCTTATAGTCCCGCAGGGCCTGTTTGCTCTTCCTCCTGCCGGCACCAGGGTCAGGAAGGGAAAGGTCAGGGGGCCAGAGCCCCTTCTGGGTCCCACAGCACCATGCGGGCCAAGCCAAGGCCTTGCCTAGAGTAATTTACCCATCCCATCCCTGGGCAGTCACACCCATGTCCTGTCCAGCCCCGGTATCGGCAAACTACAACCAGGCGGAATCTGGTCCGTGACCGTTCTCGTAAATAAAGATTTGCCGGAACACAGCCACACTCAGGTGTGTGCGCGCCGTCCACAGAGCCAGCAACAGTGACTGTGCCGCCCTTCACAGAGTGTTTGCTGGCCCCTGTCTAGCTGCCCCTTTGCAGTCCAGCCAACCCCGCCACCTACACCAGCCCAGCCCCATCTGGCCGCACCCACCTGTACATGAGGACGATGACGCTGACACCCAGAGCCAGGAGAGAGGCGCCCACCCCCAAGCCCACCTGGGCTGCCACGGGGAAAGCCACGGGGCCCTCGCTGTCATACTGCACGCGGCCCAGGGAGAAGTGCAGGTTCCCCATGTCCACCTGTGCAGAGATCCCGTGAGCCAGGGTGCCGCACCTACAGACACCCAGCCTACCCAGGGCCTGCCCCCTGACCGTGAACTCGGGCAGAGGGTCGGGTGCCCCCTGCAGGGGGTGGTGCTGTGCCAGGGGCTGCTCCTCGGGCGGCTCGCAGTACAGGTGGTGCCGGGTGAGGGTCTTCACCACACAGGGGCCGTCCCCTATCATGGCCAGCACCTCCTCCTTGGACATTGCAAGGTCCAGGTTGTCCCCCTGGAATATAAGGTCACTGACAGGTCACTCAGCTGGTCCTGAGACAGAACCCCAGGAGCTGAAGGTGCCCCCCTCCTCCGCATGTTGGGGGAGTGCCCAGATGGCTCCCAAGCAGCCCTTCCCAGTACTTCCCTACCCTCCTCCTCGAGTCTTCACCCCCAGAGCTAAAAGTCTGCAGCATATGAAGCCACCCCAAGTCCTGCCAGGGACCCATCAAAGCCAGAGTCCCTCCTGTATCTGCTGGCCCGCCAGGTGGGGGATGAGGCGCCGTCTACGTGTCCTCACCGGGCACCTACCTCTGCACGTCTGAACTGGCCAAGGGTGGGTCTGTGTGAGGCTGCCTGGAGGGCAGCAGCCCAGGCGCCCACGTATATGCCACGCTATCTGCTACTGAGTGTGCCAGACCACTCCCATGTCCCGCAGACACCTGCCATGGGGTGGTCAAGCCCCTGCCCAGAGCATCAGGCTGGGCACCCACGCTGTCTCCTGCCTTCTGCGTGCCACCCTCCCTCGGCCACAAACAGCAGTACAGCTCTGCCACAGGAAGGTCCTGGGTCTCCACGTCCAAGCAGGAATGGTACCTCCACGGACAGCACGCTCCCAGGCTTGTGCCGGAATGGCCTGGTGGGGTCCTCGGGGTTGAGGGGCTGCAGAGTGGGGTCGGCCTCATAGGAGAAGGGCGTGGGGCTCAGCGTTGTAAAGTCGAAGACCAGGTTGTCAAGGATAAATTCCACCCGGACCCAGGGGTCTGTGGGCAAGCCCGGGAGGGCAGGCGTGGGGCACGTGATCAGCCGGGAGGAGGCGACTAGGCACGGCTCCTCGAACTGGGGCAGAGGGAGAGGCGGGAGGGTCAGAGGCCGCAGGATAGGGCCCGGCAGAGCCGGGAGAGCCACCCTCACGCACACCCCGTGGCCAGGAGGTGCCCAGGGCTGTCCTACATGACGACCCCCACTGCAGGCGCCGAGGGAGCAGGCTGCCTCCGGCTCGACGCGGCGCCTCTGCTCCTGACCCTCGCTGGGCTGCAGCGCCTGCACAGCCACTCGCATCCTTGGCGTCTGTACCACGTCTAGGTTCTGACCACGGACCCGGACCACACGCCCTCCGCTGCAACACAGCCCGTCAGCACCGTGACTTGGGAGTGCCTGGCCCAAAGCTCCAACCCTCAAGGAGAGCGCAGCCCCACGGGGAGCCCGCGGGGACCACCCGTCCTGTGCCGGGCCGCCAAGTCCTCGACCGCACCTGACGAAGCTCTTGGTGGGGCCAGCAGAGGTGACGTTGGGGTCAGCTGTGTACTGGAACTGGCTCTGCAGCCTCTGCTCAACGGCCCCAAACCACACGGCCACGGGGAGCACGGCAGGTGTGTGCTGTGGGCCCGTCTCACACTGCAGCTGCTCGGCCCGCGGCTCTGGCAGCCTAGGAGGGCAGCAGAGGGGAGGTGCAAGGGTCACCCCAGGCCCCCGGGCCCACTTGGCCTCTGCTCGTCGCCCTTCCATGCTGACTGTAAGGTCCACAGCGGGGCCCAAGGCTGCACCCCGACGGCCTGGCTTCCAGAAGTCTGGCCGCCTGCGCTGGGTTGGACTGGGCCCTGCCCTGCTCTCCCCAGCACCCCCCGCCCCAGAGCACATGGTGTCTGTGGAAGGAGAATGTGGCCCTCACAGGCAGCAAGGCTGGTCTCCAACGACCACTCGGATGTCCTCCAGCCGCCCGGTCAGCAGGCTGGAGCCGTGCAGGGTGAGGCGGGTGCCCCCAGCCCTGGGGCCGCGGGCCGGGCTGATGGAGAGCACCTTCGGGTCCTGTGGGAGGGGACAGGGAGAGGCAGACAAGGCCCTGGGTGGTGGGCCCCAGGAAGGTGAAGCCAGCCGGGCTGGGGGAGCCCCACAGGGACCGGCCATCAGTAACCAGCAGGCAGGGCATGGTGGCTGCACCTGGTAGGCAAAGAGATGCTCTGAGACACCACGTCCCCTTCCGGGCACCTCCACTGTCACGGCGCCTGCCACCTCCTTGCCAGCGCTGGCGGTGATGCACACGAGTCTGTGGGCACAGCACGGGCCGCCCACGGCCCCCAGACTGACCCGGCTGCTCCCCCCCTGCTCCCAGGGGGTAGAGACCCTCCCACTTTGGAGGGACTCCCATGCACAGCCACAGCTCTGGCATCTGAGCATCAGCAACTGCGGTGCCGGAGGCTCCACAGCTGGAGCCCCAACGAGGAGGCGGCTGGCCGGGAAGCTGGCTGTGGCGCAGCTGAGCTCACGGCAGGGCCCCGCCGGCCACGGTCACTGTGTGGCCCAGCTGTGACGCGCTGGAGGCTGGATTCCTCATGGAAATAAGGCCCCGGGAGCCGCAGCACCTCGGGGGACGGAAGGGAAGAAGGGAAGGCGGGCGACCTGGGAGAGCAGGGCCCCGCCAGGAAACAAGCCCGGGCACATGAGCTCCTGGAACGTGGCGCCTGCAGCAGTCGCACTCGAGGCTGCTGCTGGCACTCAGGAGACCAGGCAAGTGGCACACGCGCTGCACAGGAGGGACCTCAGTCGGAATGGGCTTTAGCAACTTTATAAATCGCTTCCTAAGTTACTGCAGTCTTGTGGCTCCAGGGTCATTGACATCTAAGCCACCACCTAACGTCAAACACGTTTAGGTACATGCTCTAGCAAAGTCTGCTGTAAAATAGATTCTGCGGTCCCGGCCCAGGCCTCAGAATCCTGATCTTGGAGCGCAGGGTCAGAGGGTCCGCTGTGGGGGCTTTGGGCAGACTCTCCAGGTGACCCTGGAATGCAGCCAGGTTTGGGGCTTGCTGCCTGTGGGTATCTCTGGAGGAATGTCAGCGTGTGCACCCTTGGGACCCCGCAGCTGCTGGCTTGGTGGCCATGGCCCGGGACTGCAGACTCCAGGAGCCTGGGGAAGGCAGCAGGGGTCCCGGGACTGGACAAAGGAGCCTGGCATTCAGCAGGTGTGTGCTTCCCGCCCTCCTGAAAAGCCTGCCGGGGGTGGGATCTTTCCCTGCATGGTGGGAAGGCCAGCCCCTGAGCACAGCAGTCTGGGTTCTAAGGACGCTGCTATCACGACTACACGGAGGCCACTCAGAAAGCCAGGTGGGAACAGTCACCACTCAGCTCTGGGCAGTGACCGCGGCCTAAGCTGAGGAATGGATCCCGAGCAGCCCAGCCAGGAACCTGCAGGTCTGTGCGTGAAGCCAAGGTGGGCATTCCTGGACCTCAGTGGCAACCCCGGCTCTCAGGCATTATGATCAGAGCCAAGGAAGGGGGAGAGAGGGGCAGATGAGTGGAGGCAGGGGCCCTGGGCAGGAAGGCGGCGTGGGCCCTGCTCCGGCAAGCCCACCTGCTGGAGACCTGGTACTCCTGAGTGTCCACCGCACAGGGCACTCCAGCCACCGTGACTGTGTCCCTTATGTCCTGCACGTGTTGGCCCAGGTCGGAGCCCCTGATGGTGACCCGGGTGCCTCCATGTATGTGCCCAGTCAGTGGCTCCACCTGGCCCAAGACAAGGACTTCTCAGCTCCAGCAGCACTGACCCTTGACAGCCGGGAGGCAGCCCCCACCTCCCACCTCTGGGCCCTGGACACAAAGCACCACACCCATCCTCAAGGGCAGCGGCGAGGAAGGTGGCCAGCATTTCAACACACCGAGAGGATAAGGGGCGCAGGGCACTGGGTGGCCACGGCCCCGGGCCTCCCACAGGCCTTCCGGGCCGTGCAGCGTGGGTGCACCCCCATGCACCATACACAGTCGTACTGGGGCTTGGCGGTCTGGCAGCGGCTGCAGTCCTGGTGTCCCACGGAACAGTCATACAGCACAACTGGGGAGGCAGACAGACATGAGAGCGTGAGCGGCAGGCCGGGAGGAGCCCGGCAGCGCCCGCAGCCCCCACAGCTCACCATGCAGCCCATCAGCACCGTCCACGCGCAGACTGCCAGCCCAGCGCAGAAACAGCCCCACACGGAGCTCTGGCTGCAGAGCCTCGTAGCTGAGCTGGAGAGAAGGGGGTGGTTCAGGGCCGGGCTGGGCAGGGTGTCAGAGAAAGCATGGGAATGACTGGTGCGAGTACACAAGGCCAGAGGTCAGAGCTACCGAGACCTCCTGGGGACAGGGTGGGAGGTCAGAACTGGAGCCCGCACCTGGTGCTGCTGGCAGGTGACGTGGCACTGGTCCCCTGGGGGCAGCTCACACTCCACCTGGGCCTCCAGCACCACCTCGCGGTCCTCCAGCTCCATCACACACTTACTATCTCCTGGGCTGTCCTGGGGGCAGAGGGCATGGCTGTGGGGCAGCTTCCGAGCTAGCCTGGGCTGGGGTTGAAAGTTGGTCCCTGCCCTCCTCCCCACCGGGCACTCCCACAGCTTGTCAGTGGCACCTGCAGGGGTGACACGCTCACCTGGAAGAGGCGCAGGTTCCTGCCCAGCAGCTGGACCTCCTGGGCCACCAGGACGGGAATCAGCTCAGAGCCCTGGATGCTCTCCACACAAGGGCAGGCGCTGGCCCCGCAGCCCACCTCTCCCTGTGGCACCGAGAGCGAGGCGGTCCACTGTGCCCCCTGCTGCTGCACGGCCCTCCCCCGCAGAGCCCCAGGGCACAGAGCCCACCCTGTCCCGGGCCTCCTTCCTGGGCCTGGCCTCACCAGCTCCCAGAGCCCCGGGCTGTCGTACTGGTAGTCGAGGCTGGACGGGAGGATGACGGGGGCAGGGGGGCCCTCGTGCTCGGCCGAGTCTCCGTCACCTGAGAGGAGGGTGGGAGTGGAGAGGGCGGGCGTGTCACCCCCTGTCCACGGGTCAGCCTCGGGTAGCTCGCCGCCTCCTCTCTCAGACCAGGTCAGAGCAGGCTTCGTGGAGCCCGCAGCCCCTGGGAAGGCCGTGGCGGGAGCAGTGCTGGGGGGCTGGTCTGGGGGTGCTGCAGTGGGGCGTGCCTTGGCACCGGGGTCTGCAGGGGTCCCCGCTGCTGCACCTGAGGGTGCTGAGTGGGAGGCCAAGGGGTCCTGGGCCGTGGGCCTGAGGCCGGTGGGCTGGATAGCAGTTCCAGGTCTGGGGTTGCTGGGAGGGGGTGGCCCCTCATGCAGAGGGGGCTCTGTGGAGGCCAGGGTGGGGAAGGGGCTGAGCAGGGAGGGCCTGGCTGCAGCAGGGACACGTGTGGCTGTGGCCGTGGCTGTGGCTGTGGCTGGAGCCCCGGGCTCCTCGGGAGGGGTGTCAGGAGCCGGGGTGCCCGTGACCTCGGGGGCTGCAGGTGGGGAGGGGGTGGGCACATCCTCTGCAGAAGGGTCTGGGGAGAGAAGCGGACTCTGAAGGGGGCAGAGAGAGACAGGAGGGGCCACTCGGCAGGCAGGCGGGCACGGGAGCAGGTGGCAGGCAGGCAAAGGGATGGCGCGTTAGCGGAAAGGAAACCAAGGAAAAGAGAACAAAACAGCCCATTAGTTCTGCAAGGGGGGCATGGGGGTGGGGGCAGGCTCCTGGGGTGTCCAGCTGAGGTGGGGCCCGAGGCCGAGACCACCCTGCCTCTCAGCCACAAATGTCCCTCCTCCCGAAACAGGAGGGAGCCGACAGCCATCCTCCGAGAGACCCCCACGCGGCAGCTCGGTACTCATAGAGCCTTGCGTGGGCAGGCTGGCAGGCACGCCACCCCGGCCACCAGAGAAACCCTCACAACGGGGACCCCAAGCCCCTGCCCCGAGGGGGCCCAGCTGGGGGCCACGCTCACCTGCTGGCTAGCCACCATGGGCCCGGCATCACACGAGGCCTTGTGTGTGCACACGTGCTGCCAGACGCACCACTTACACCCCCAGCGGCTGCTCACGCAGGCCTGGCACCTACATAGAGCAGAGGTGTGGGACCGGTGTCACCACGGGGTGGCCTGGTGCTGCGCATCAGGGCACAGAACTCACTGAGCGGTCGGGTGGAGCTCAGGGATGGCCACACAGTCGTAGACGAGGAGGGAGGCTTTGGCGATGCTCACAGCACCGAACCTGAGCTCCACGCCCATGGAGAGGTGGTCTGCAAAGGGGGAGATGGCCAGGCCTGAGGCAGGGGCCAGCCGGGCTGGGGGGCACCCAGGGCTGCAGGGACACTGTGCACGGGGCACAGAATGGGGCCTTCAGGGGAGGGCCTGGGGGGGTGCATAGGAAAGGGCTGGCTTTAGAAAAAGCCACCCTGCCCGTCCACACCCTTCGGAACAAGACAGCGGGAGGGAGGGGCTGCCGGTCCCCAGAGCCGGCCCTTTCTCTCACCCACCGACTCCTTTTGGCAGTGGTGGGGCTTCCTTAGGGCCTGGGGAGGAGCACGTCACGCCAGAGCCGGTCAGCAGGGCAGGACTCCGGTGCTCCCCAAAGTGGCAGGAATACGACTCCCCAGGCCACAGGGGTGGCAGGCCGGGCACAGCCAGGAACAGCTGCAGAGGGGCCAGGATGTGCTGAGCAAACCGGTGCTCATGCTGAGGGCACCCAGTGTGCACATGCCACCATCTGGAGGCTCCCACATGCCCTGGCCTGGGCGAGGCCCCGAGAGAGGGGACCTGAGCCAGGCCACGTGGTGTCTGGCGCATCTGACCCCCGAGCCCAGCCCACGGGCCCTGCTCTGACCACCCACCTCTCTCCTCTCCTCTCGGCTGATGCTGGCAGGGATCAGAGCCGCCACCTGCAGGCAGCCCGGCCCCGGCTGGAAGCTCCACAGCCACGGCTCTGGGCCCCGGCCCCGCGAGCACTCGGAACGGCGACCACACCTGCGTGACAAGGCCCGCTGCCCACTGCGAGCCTCATGGGAGCTCACACCTATCCCGGGGACCCGGGCGGGGTCCTCAGCAGCCAGGTGTCCAGGCTGCAGGGCCTGGCAGGGCACCAATGCCCAGAATGGAGGATGGGGGTCAGGGCATGCAGGGGTCAGTGGCTGCAAGTCGAGGGCTGAGGACCAGAAATTCCAGACAGGAATTCCACAGGAGCTGGAGGCCAGGGCTGGGGCAAGGCCTGGACTGGGGAGGGCACTGACCTGCCTAGAAGCACACACCACCCACAGTGTGGGTCCCTGTGAGCAAGGCAAGATACGCAGTCCAGGTGCTGGGCACAGGAGGCCACGGGAACCTTGAGGAGCTGCGACAGCAAGCAAGCACCGGTGACGCATCCCCATATGGGTGCCTGGCCTGCTCACAGCCCCTCCCAGCAGCCCGGCCCCGGCTCCTGCCTGGCCCTCACCGTGTGCTGGGTCAGGACGTACAGGTGCTCCAAGGGCCCATCAAAGAGGAGGTCTCTGCTCACTGCAGACCCCTGCCAGATGCTCTGTGTGGAGTACGGGTGGCCATCGCTCCCGGGGCCCAGGTACACCTGCCATCAGGGACCACGGGGTCTGGGACCCGAGTCCATGGCCACAGACCCAAGGCCCTCCATGCACCACAGGGAAGCACCCTGCAGGTGGGATTCCATCTGAGGTGGGTGGGGTCACACCTCCCAGCCCCTGGAATAGGTATGTGGCTCACGCCTCCCAGCTGGGGATGGGGGCATGTCAGTCCCCCTTCAGCCCCAGGGCGGCCAGGTGGCGTGTGCAGCTGGGCCCATAGCAGCTGTCCCTGGCAGGCCCTGGACACTTACCTTGTGCAGGTGCCCTTCACTGTCACCCAGGAACACAATGGTGTGGCCATCCTCCACGGCTACCGCCACAGCTGTTAGCTGAACCCCTGGCCACTCCAGGACCGGCATAGCTTCCAGGGGAACCTGGCTGGCCATGGGGCTCGGGGTGTGGTCTGAGCCACAGGGATAAGCATCCACGGTGTCCTGTAGGCAGCAAGACACACCATGGGGCCTGCATAACTGCCCAGTGCCGCCTCTGTGCCAGCCCTTCCAACACTCCTGCCTGCTCAGGGCTCATCTCCGCTGACCCATGTCTCAGCGGCTCTTCCCCTCCTCTGCCCCCTCTGTCTGGGGCCCCCTGCCCTGCCCTGGCCACTGAGAGAGCTCGCCTTCTCCGGCACCTCTGCTCCAAAGCCTCATGCGGTCGGCATCCTGACCTCCAAGCCCCTCCACGCAGCCCACCCTCACTGACCCAGGGCCCTCCGGAGGCTCCCCCTTTTCTCCATCGCGAGGCCAGAGCCAAACAGGTCTCAGCATCACCTCTCTTGCTCAAGAACCTAATACAACAGGTCCCACCCCAACAGTCTGGGTCCCCCTCCCCACACCCTGCAACTCCAAAACCCTCTAGTCCCCCCACAAACCCAGCCCTGCGCGTCCTGCCCCTTGAACGCCATCGTTTCAGTGAGGGGTGCCCGTTGCCCACAAACAGGAAGCAGAGAGCTCCTGCTGGCCTGCCAGCCCCACAACTCGGCTTCTGGGGGGACACAGGCACACACTTAGAGCTGCACCTCAGAGACCAGCTGGGCAGGAACTCACCATGGGCAACTGTGCACAGCTGGAGCTGACATCATACTCGATGTAGGCCACTTCCTGCCCATCCTCGGCGCGGCCGCCCCGGGTGTAGCAGGCGTCACGAGTGTGATTCGCGAGGCGGTCCACCTCATCCAGGGGGAAGGCACAGAGCGCGGAGGCCCCTGATGGTCCAGCAGCTGCCACTGGGGGCCGGCCCACCACGGGGGGAGCAGCCACAGAGAAGGCCACGAAGAGCGCCTGCCCCTGGGTCCCCTCCCGTGGCGGGGCCACGGCCGCGGCCTGGACCAGCCTGTAGCGGGCTTCCTGGCAGGCCAGCGGCACTTCCACGTAGGAATAGTAGTGCTGGTCCCGGAGGCACACGCGGGACACGTAGGCCCGGAAGGCCCGGGACGGCGCCCGCAGGTCCCGCCGCAGGAACAGGAAGTAGGCGCTGGCGCTGTGCCGGAAGGCGCTCACGAAGTGGTGGCTGTACTCGGAGAGGCGGCCCACCGCCAGCTTGGCTGTCTCCTCATAGGAGAAGGCGGTCTGGGGGTCCGGTGGCCATAAGGTCCGGGTGGTGATGGGGGGGATGCCGCCCCCCAGGCCCCTGCTGGTGTATCCCCGCCCCACAAATAGGAGGGGTCCCCCAGCCGGGCCCTGGGCCACCAGGCCCACCGTGCTGACCGCAGGGTCATTGGCTGCCACGTACTGGGTGTCCCCAGGCCGCTCGGGCCGCAGCAGGAGCTGCTCGAGCCGCCCCAGGCGCCGCTGCTCACAGACCCCCTGGTGCACGCTCCCGCACACCACCAGGGCCCCCGGGCTCACCAGGAGCAGCTGGTTCGGGTTGTTGGTGGGCTGGGCGTGGGGACACTCGTCAGGCACCACAGGGGGAAGGCAGTCTCTGCTATCGAGCACAGGGCCAGTGGCCACAGTGGCCTCCAGCTGCAGCCCCGGGCTCAGCTGGAACAGGAAGTTGGTGGCCCCGAGGTAGAGGGTGCCTGAGGTGGGGTCCCGCACCACGTGCTGCAGACGCGTGCCATTGGCAGTGAACGCAGCTGGCTGGGGGTGCTGGAGGCTGAGGACCCACCCAGCCCAAAGCGCCTGCAGAATCGCTGGGCCAAGGGCGGGCATGGTCACCTGGCAGAGAGAGAGGTGGAGGGGGCTCACGCGGCCATGGAGCCCTTGGGGCTGCTGGCATGGGACAGGGCAGCGCCACTGCCAAGATGGCCCTCCTCCCTGGGGGAGCAGAGGAGGGGCAGGACGCCCCACGCGGCAAGGGGACAGGTCTTCCTGAAACCTTGACACTGCCCGGGCTCAGCAAACACTGTTCTCCCGAGAGGCTGCACCGCAGGTCTGAGGGCAGGGGGCTGGCTGGGCAGGGGCGGGGGACACAGCCCACCACCCAGCCGGGGCAGGGGGCAGCCAGAGCGATGTTGGCCTCCTAGGCAGCCAGAGGAGGAGGGAGAGAGGGTCAGAGTCGGGCAGGCACTGGACAGAGGGCCCCCAGGCTGGGAGTTCAGCAGGGGCGCAACCAAGGGCCCACTGCCCGGGCAGAGGGGCAGCCAGGCTGCAGGGACGCGGCCTGCAGCAGGCCTCTGGATGCTGCAGCGCGAGGTCAGGCTCACCTGGCAGGGCCGGCTCGGTCGGGAAGCAGCAGCATGATCTGTGTGGGCGTCCCCTGGCCAGGGAGAAAGCAGAGCGCAGAGCTGGGCTGCGGGCCTGCAGCACGCGGGGCTCCCCTTGCCACTGCCCAGCCTGGCCCTCGGCCACCAAACACATTCCACAGGGGGCGCCTCCTTGGAGCCACCCAGGGAGGGGAGGCAGCAGGGCCAGGCATCTTCAGGGCCTGGGAAAGGGCGCGAGGGGGGGGCCGGAGGCTGGCAGGCCCCCTGAAGCCCTTCCTCACCCTCCTTCTGGCCCCTCTTCCCAAACCCCACCCCTCGAGGCTCGAGATGCACACCCCGACTCAGGCCAGGGGCTGCCCTAGCCCGACTGCCCCCAGCACAGAGACGCACGCTTGCGCACGCACCACCCAGTCCATGTGCACATACCCTACACAAGCACATCTGGGCTTGCACACACAGACACACACTGACACAACCCGCACAGACATGCTGAGACCAGCTCCTTACACACGCACACACACAGTCACCCAGCAAAGACTTCTGCAGCACCACCCACATTTCAATACCCACACATGCAGACTCGCGCACACTTCCCTGCTTCGAGCCCTAAGTTCTAGCGGGCCGGGGAAGCCAGGCCACCTCTTGCGACTTTCTCTCCTGCAGGCCAAGCAGAGCCAGGGCCTGGAGTTGCATGGAGGGTTGTCCTGGAGGAAGCCATCATGCCTAGCTGCACCCCCATCCTCAGGACCTCCCCAGACCTGGGTGCCTGCCCTCCTCATGGACCCCTCCTTGCAGGCCCACCAATGGCCTGCTGGGACCAGGAAACCGTGGCAACACCACTGCCCTGGACCCCAGGGGTCCCCAGCCCGGAGCACCAGGGCAGGTGGAGGGCTGGGGCAGAACACACACCCCAGGCCACCTCCCCTACTGACCTGCACCCTGGCCACAGGGCCCAGCCCCCCATGACCGGGCTGCCAGTCTGACTGTTGGGAGAGCTTCCCCTGGGCCCAGGTGGGCTCCTTCCAGACGAGGCCTGGCAGTCTGGCGGGAATCCTGAGCCTGCCCTAGGGTGAGCCAAGCTGGGCGCAGCAGCCTGGTGGGAGCAGGGGCCGTGGCCACAGGCCAGCTGGGCCCAGCTCCCAAAACAGCTTGGGGGTTTCCATTTTTAGTGTGCAGAGAACAGGGCGGCTCTGTGGGAGCGGGGACAAGGCTGCCTCTGTTTGCCACTGAGGCACAGAGGGGGCGGCAGGGAGAGACGGGAGCCCAGGGAGCAGCCCAGGACTGCGGTGCCACCGGGTCTCCCAGGAGCCTCCACCTGGTTTCCAGGAGAGGGAGGGAGGGGGCATCTGCCTGAGGACGGGCAGGGGGATGGCCTGGGCAGCGGGTCCCACAGCCAGCCAGCATGGGCCCTCCATTCCCTTACGAGCACTTTCCCAGAGCCCCCCCTGTGTGCCGAGGCTCTCCAGCCCTGGGGGGTGGCAACCAAGGCCGTGCCCAAATGCAGAATCACAACTGGGTCAAGTGGCCCACAGGAAGAAGGTGGGTGGGCTCAGAACAGCTCTGGGCCAGGCCACGGGAGGCCAGAGGCCCGTCCACAACTGCGCCAGGCCCTGTACCCCGTGCCCTTCCCCCACACCGTGGGCAGGGGGGCAGAAAAGAAGAGCAGTGGCTTTTCTCCTCCTTGGCAGGCACTGGAACCACACTTAGCTTCTGCCACAGGCTGCAGAGCAGCCCCCAGCTCCTGCAGTCCGCCCCTCCTACCTCAACCTGCCTTTTAGCAGAATCGGAGCACATTCCTCCCCCGCAGGCCTTCAGGGCCTGCAGGACAAAGGCCCAGCGCTCTAGTCCACGCCCCCCACCCCCCAGGCCGCAGGCCTGCCCGCACAGTGCGTCCTCCCCGCCAGGAGTGCCCACTCCCTCTTTATTCCATCCTCTCCAGGGCAGCTGTCCCTGCTCCCAGGCTGAGAAAACTGGGGGAGCATGAAGTGGGGTGCAGGGACACAGCGTAACCCGGCCACGGCTCTCGGCCCCAGGTCTCCCAGTTGTAGAATGGGAGGAGGGACTGCTCGGGCTGTTAAATGTGGTAAGGCGGGTGCCTGGCATTAATGGTGCCAACCAAGGGCGCTCTTCTCCCTGCTCGGCCCCCCCCCCTCCCTGGGCTTGAAGCTCCTGGAAGGCAGGGGGCGTGGCTCCTGATTCAGAGGCCCCGTGACGGACGGGTGCGCCCTGCCTCCCTGAAAGAACTTCTCAGTCTACAGCCCGAGACCTGCCCCAGGAGAGACGTGGACCCACACGCCTCTCCGAGCCACCTGACCTCTCGAAGGACAAAGTATCAGCCCCACTTTTACTAGTGACCAGGCCAGAGCAGACTGAACAGGCCAGGGCTCATGTACCCACCACGCCCGGCCCACTCCCCAGCTCCCAGGCCCCATCCAGGTGCACCCCAAAGCCTAACACTGCCTGTGCCTGGGCCTGCCCGGAGGCCTCTCCGTCACACAGGTGTGGAGCCTCACCCCATTTCCATTTGTCCTCTTCTAAAACAGCCCCTGAAAGAGAAACACGCTAACTGCTCTACAGCTGTGCTTGCTTACGGGACACGAGACAGCACGGTACCTGCCACACGGGCCGCTCACCGGAGCCGGCTGGGGCCTGAGCAGCACCAGACAGCCGCCCGCCGCCCCTTCAGCCCCCTCTCAGCCCCTACACCCTTGTTCTAACACACGGCCACGCTGAGACCGCTGCCCAGGCAGCGCGCACCTGCCAGGCACCATCGGGGGGGGGGTGTGGAAGGCGCCGGGACAGCGGCCGCGCCCCGGGCTCTGCGAGTCCCCGCCCCGTCCCCCTACCCCGCCGCCCCTGGCCCCTTCAGGTCTCCCCCCGCCCCTCCAGCAGCCCGAGGGCTCCCCGACTCTGCCCTTCCTCACCCGAGGGGCCGCCCCCAGGCACTCCCTCTGCCTCCGCACTCCCGGCCGGTTCCGCGGGCCCACCGCGGAGAAGGGCCACGGGGACAGGGCGGGCCGCGTGCCCAGGCCGGGGAGGGTCCGCCGCCGTCGCGCCGCCGGGGCCTCCACCTGCGCCCCCGCTCGGCCGCTCCAGCCGCGCCCCCGGCGGGCCCGGACTGCCCCGCGCCTCCCCGCGCCTCCCGCCGCGCTCACCGCCGCCCGCGCCGCGCCGCGTCCCCGCCGGCTCTGCCGCCGCCGTCACCCGGAGACCGAGGGCGAGCCGCCCGCCTCCGCCTCCCGCCGCGCGGCCCCGCCGGGAACAAAGGAGACAAAGCCGCCGCTCCTGCCCCCGCCCGCCGCCGCCGCCGGAAGCCGCGGACCGCGGTCGGCCGGCTCCCAGTCGGGGCTCCGCACACCCGGGGACTCCCTAGCTTGGGGGCTCCCCACATCCAGTGCTCCGCTTGGGCAGGAACTCCCCGCCGGGCGTTGCGGGGGACGCTGCACCTCCAGGGACAGGGCCTCGACCCCCCCATCCTGGGGCAGGCCGACCCTCTGCGGGGGCCAGGGCCAGGGCGGCTCTGGCTGGGGGGCGCAGGACCCCTGCCCGCAGGCCTCCCCTGCAGCTAGGCCCCCTTCCCCTCCACACCGGGCTCCCGGAGCGCCCTCCTCCAGCTCTGTCCACCTGCACCCCCGAGCGCCTTTCCTCCCGCCGCACCACCCGCACCCAGGACTCCCAAACAGCCAACCTCTCCTTCCGGCCCTTGCTGCAGGGCGTGCGGAGAAGCCATCACTACGCCCAGTAACCTGACCCCGACCCCGCAGGCCTGTGCACACCGGCAAGCGGGGCTGGTGCCCCACCTGTCTGGGCTTTCAGAGCAGGCACAGGCCGCAGGGCACACACGCGAGCCTTCTCGTCCCAGCCTGTGCCTGGACCCACCCCACCCTGGGCAGCCTTGGGCAAGTCTGGACTCCCTTTCTGGCAAGTATCTAGGGCCTGCCCAGGGAGGAGCTGCTGGGCAGAAGGGCTCCCCCCGGGGGCCCAGCTGTGCCCTCTGCTGGGCCCTTCACACCAGGCCTACCCACTGCCCACAGGAGCTGGACCTGGCTCATCCTACGAGGACTCTTGGGGCACTAGGGCCCCCGGCCCCTGGGACAGCCTCCTGGGAGGCAGGACTTGTCAAACACACGGCACCTCCCCAGGAGGCCCAGCACCTCACCACAGCCCCCAGCCCTGGCATCAGACACCAGAGACCCCGCCCCCCGCCTGCCCACCTGCCAGTGTGGCATTCCAGGTCCTGCACCTCATCCTCTCTCCTTTCCTCCTGACTCCCCCAGCCCTGGCCACCCCAGGGCCTCACCGATACAGCTTCCCTGCCAGCGCAGCTCTGACCTGGAATCCTCCCCTCCCCAAATTCATTCCGTCAAGTTACACCCTTAATGACCTGCCTCACCCCAGAGGGGTACCTGGGGCTTTCAAACCCCATGGTAGCTTTCATTTGCACTCAGACAAGCTACCCCATCAGGGGCGACCCTCCATGTGCAAGTCAGTTCATCCCATGCTGTCCTGGGGAAGCCGGACACAGAAAACAAGGCCAAGGATGGGGTGGCCATGTGCTCAGGGGACGAGGAAGGCAGACATTCACAGCCTGGAGGCCACAACCAAGGCCTGGGCATGGGTCCTGGAAGGAAGGGCACGTCCTGGGAAATACTTCTCCCCAGGCCCCTGCAGCAGGTCAGCCTGCAGAAGCCCCCACGTGCAGGCCCTGCCTGCAACCTCCACAACCTCGGTGCGCTCTGAAGAGGGGCCTCCAGCACTCTCCCCAGGTAGAGTGCCTCCCCACTGCTGTTTACTCAGGGACACGAGGCCACCCATGGCAGTGACCCAGGGGGTCAAAGGTTGTTGTTACCCGCCAGAAAAAGCAGAGGTGAGGGATTCTCAGGACAGGCCACCTCCATGCCACCCCGTTGCACCTCCTACCTCTGGGTCCCTCCCCATTGCTGCCTCTGGTCACAGGGCTGGTGGGCTGGGCCCCATTCACGCCTGAAGAAGCGTCCCCAGACTGTGTGCAGGAGGACACACCAGGGCTGCTCAAGCACTGTGCACCAGGGGCCCACACTGGCCGTGGTCCCTGTAACTGTCTCCTGTAAGTCACCAACCATTCCCCCAGTCCCTCTGCCCTGCTCCCCTCTGATTGCCCCTCAGGAACTGGAGCCAGGAGGGCCTCCCTGCCATGCAGAGTGCCCCAGCAGAGGGCAGTGACCACAGTCACCAGCGGGAGGCGGAAGGCCAGGCTCCACTCACTGGAAACCCGAGGCCACCTGACAGAAGGGTCAGCCAAGCGGAGGGCAGGCCAGGAAATCCAAGGCGAAAAGCCAGCCTTATGGGGAAGTGCATTCCAAATGGTCAAGCCAGGACCAGACCAAGAAGCCGCCCCAAACCGCAATTTCCAGCAGGCAAAAAATCTGACGAAAACTACTTTAAATACAGACTCAAAGGCATTTTAATTGGACATTAGCACAGCTTTGAAAATGTAAACCAGCATTACTAAAAGCAAAGCAGGTCGGCTAGGGAGCCAGGTGGTGCTCAGACTTCGGCCGAGGCTGTGTTCACCCTCAAAGGCTCGCTCCTTGTGCGGTTCTCTAACTACACCCACATCCATGCCGACCCTCTTGGCACCTCGGGGGGAGGGCCCAGGGGCTAGCTGGTCCTGAACAGCAGGTAGAGCACGGGCAGTGTGGCCACGAATGCCACACCGGTGACCAGCGTGCTGCAGAGGGCGCTCCTGTGGACCTGGGCTTCTAGCCTCTGCTCCATGTCTGACAGCGCCAAGGTCAAGCTCCCCGACTCCAGCAAGGGGCCAGGCAGCGCGCTGTCTGCTGGCTGCCCCAGGCCTGGGCGGGCTGAGGCCTCTGCCAGCTGAATTGTCCTGGCCGTCTGGCTGAAAGTCTTCTCCAGGCCATGAAGCTGCTCTCTCAAACCCTCTAGAGAAGAATGGACCTGCCTGGAATGGCTGAGCTGCTCTTTCAAGGCAGCTGAAAGGACGTCTTGGTCTCGGGTGGCAGGAGTACCTGCCCGGGTCCCAGAGCTCTGCTCAGACCCGGCTTGCACCAGGCCCCTCAGGTCCACCATGAGGTCGTGGAGGTCCTTCTGCTGGAGGGAGTAGCTGGAGGCCTGGTCTCGGAGGGCCTGCTGAAGGCTCGCAGGCCCCTTCTGTGCCTCTAGGAGCACGGCCTTCAGCTCCTGCAGCCGCACTCGGTTCACATAGGTGGAGCCAGCCACCCCAATCAGTGCCCCCAGGACAGAGCCCACAAGCGACCAGTTCTTGGTCCTCTCTGCCCGAGCACGCTCCTTCTCGTGGCTCTCCCGCACGGCTGCCGAGAGCAGGGAGAAGCTCTCCCGCTCAGAGTCCTCGGCATGCAGGTGGGCCACGCGCAGCCGCTTGTCCTCCTGCAGAGGCAGAGCTGTGTCACCCAGCAGCCATGTGGCACGAGCCTCAGCTGCCAGCAGCTGTCCTGCCACCGCGTGCCTGGGGCCCAGCTCACACACGGCACAGGTCACGCACTGCCCGTGCGTTGAGTGAATGAGGGCAGCACAATCCTGGTTGGGGGTGGCCACCAAGGGCCACACGTCCTCCTGTCCAGCATCTGGATGTGACCAGACAGCACAGACGTCTACAAGGTGTGTGCCCGGGGGGATGTGCCCAGCCCCCTGTGGGGCTCCCTCCTCAGGAACCTGGAGCCCCGACAGCACTGCCCTGGATCACCGACCCCAGGACCAGGGAGGAGGCGGCCGAGAGGCTCCAGAGCCTTGGGCCCAAGCCCTCCGCAGGGATCCTGGCGGCCTCCTCGCCGGCTCTCCGACCACCACACCAGTTGGGTTCCCACCATGGCCCCCGGGCATGCCAGGTCGGGTCCCGTCCAGGCGGGGAGGGCGCCCCAGAGGCACCTACCTGTAGCAGCCTGTGCTCCTGCGTAGCCAGTTCCAGGTACTGGCTGTCCTCCCTGGAGATGCGGTCCAAGCGGTCCCTCACCTCCTTCAGCTTGTCCTGCTGACCCTCCCACGTCTCTCGCGCCTCTCGGACAAGCCCTCGAGCCACCATGAATGCTCTCTCTGCCTGCAGAGAGAAGAGTCCTGGCGGCTGCCGCCTCTCCACGCCCCAGGCTCAGCTCTGTTCCCCCAAGGCTGTGGCTGAGAAGAGGTCAGCAGGTGTCAGAGCAAAGGGGGGAAACAGTCCCTCAGACATACGACCCTGGCTCACCCTGCAGTCGTTCAAGTGCAGCCCTGCCACACACCGATCAGGTCACCCGATTTACCCTCTAAAGTGGAGGTAACATGCCCCTGAGGAACTTGACGACAGCCACCGGTCACACTCTGGGTCCTGAAGCCCCAGCAACCCTAATGACGGGGACCAGACAGGAGCCTGTGGGCTCAAGCGTACTTATGCCCCAGAGTTAAAATTCACAGGCCTGGGTCATGACCTCCACAGGCCCAGGCACCTGCCTCAGATCCTCCCGCTGAGCCCTGGGCCCCGCCCACCCCACCAAGCAGGTCTGCACCTAGGGGCTGGGGACGCTGCACAGGGGTGTCACCACGCAGGCAGCTCTCTCCCTTCAGCATCCCAGGGCTGGCGGCCTCCTTGGCAGGCACCAACAAGCTGCCCTTCCCGAGTCAGGAGGCAGGGCCGACCACCCGCCCGTCCTCACCTCGGTCACTTTTCCCTGGGCCTCTCGAACCTCACTGAGTCCAACAAACTCCTCGTATCTGTCCCACCATGTCTTGGCTGTGGAGGATGCCTGCTGCCGAATGCCACGCCCCAGGGCCTGTCCCAGGGCTATGAGGCGGTGGTACAGCCCCAGGGCCACCTCCTGGGCTCCCTTCTCTCTTGGCTGGCTGGAGCCTGGGCTGCAGAGAGTCCTGGTCACAGACAGGTCACTTCCAAGGAGGCCTCTCCGCACCAACACGGGGGATGCACCCACGACGTACTGCATGTCAAACACAGGGCTGTGCCCTGGCATCGGCAGATCTGTAGAGGGACAGATGCCAGAAGATCAGCTCACAGCTGAGAAAGGCTGAGCATCAGCTAGTTTCAAGGCTTAGAGACAGATTTGAACCACCACATTTCCATCAAACAGCCAAACTGAGCACTACTCTGCTGGGCCTGGAGCCTGCGGCCGCTGTGGCCTAGCCTCCCCCTGCTCCAGACACATTAGGGGAAAACACAGGAAATCATGTCTCCCCCCTCCCTCCACGAGGCCACATGAACCAGGCTCTCTCCTCCACCCACCTTCCCCGAATCCTCCAGGTATCTCTTGTGACTTGAAACCTGGTGCCCAGTTTTCTGGTAATGTCAAAGAAAATTCTCAAACATCAGTTGTACCCATACTGAGAAGCCCCAGCCCCACAAAGAACCATGAAGCCTCCTGGGGCGACCAGGAGCCGAGGGGCTCTCAGGAAAGACTCCTGTAAAAGGCCCTCAAAACCAGCTGCCCAGCCCGAGGCTGCCTCTGCACCGGATGAGTCTCACTCATGTCTCAGGACATAGCCTGTCCACGTCCCAAGGCAGAAACCCTCTCAGCTCTCTTCTGGGAAGACAATTCCAGGGGAGACAGTGAAGGAAAACCGGAGAAGAGGTGTCTTCACAGAGGACTTTTCTTACGTCCACCCACCATCTTCTGCCCCCAGGTCGACGTTTCAGGTCAACAACTCTGACGCATCCCCTCGGACCAGGCGCTGCCCCGCAGCTCAGGTGTCTTCAATCCTCTTCTCACCCCTGCTCTGATATCTGGGCCCCAACTGCTCTTCTGGGTGCCTCGACTGCACGGGGCCTCCCAGTACCTAGTCAGGCCCCGCCTGAGCCCAAGAGCAGCAGAGACTTGGAGCCCAAGAGTGGACCAGGCCATCAGGCTTCCAGGTCAACCTGGGCCAGCAGTGCCTCCTCTGGCCAGTCACCGCCCCCCCCCATCCCAAGCCCCCAAAGCCCCACTCTGCCTGTCAAGGTGACACTTGGTGGCCAAAGAACCAGGCCAGAGAAAAAAAACAGGAGTGCTAGGGACAGGCAGACTAGAGGAGCTCTGGGCAGAGAGGGAGCTCCTGACATAAGGGATGTGGAACAGAGACCTGCTCAGAGCATCCCAGCCTCCTCCCCCCTGTACCATGCCCAGGCCCTTTTGAAACAAAGTTGGTCGGGTAGGGACATACATGCCTCCTGGCCAAGCTGGGAGCCACAGAATAACAGCGAATCCAGGCTAGTGCCACGCCTGAATCCCTGAGCCCCACTCATGAGGCCCATGGGTACACACACAACCACCCCATGCCCTGCGGGTCAGGCAAGCCGCGTAGGCCTCACCAGCAGTGCCCAAGGCACAAGAGCTGTGACCCCACAACAATCCTGCAGGAGTACCCCCAGAAGAGAGGAGCGAACGGCCTTGCAGCCCCACTAAACACAGCACCCACCATCCTCAGCAGTGCTCAGCAGAAAGGAGGCCACCTCGACTGTCACCAGCTCCTCAGCCCCCTGCCATGACCCTGTTCCCCAAGGCTACCCTCCTAGGGACACTGCAAACTGCCACCTGACAGGTGCTTCTCAGTGTCTGCAGTGTGCCGCACCCTCGCTCTTTGAAGTCGTCCCCCCAACTCCCAGCTTCCTCCAGCCTTCTCGGCCTCCTTTCCGGGCCTCACCCCTACCAGCCACCCCCTCCTAGACCCAGGTGGCCCCTCACCCCTGGCAGAAGTGAGCTGCAGCATCCTAGGCAGTCTTAGCCTCCTGGCTGCCCCAGCTGCTGTTCTTCACTCAGCCTCCAGATGCTCTGGCAGCTCCGGAGTGGGCATGTCCCTCGGTTCAAGCCCTCTGACAGCTCCCACCTCACCTGGCGTGACTGCCCGTTTTGCTGGCGCCCGGGATCCTGCCCCAGGGCTGATGTCCGCCACTTGCTCCGCCTGCACCGGGCTTCCTCCAGGAGCACGGCTGGCTTCAGTGTCTTGCACAAATGTCACCTCGGCGAGGCCTCCTTTCACCTCTCCCTCCTTGGCCACCTCACTTGCTTTATGTTCTCCATCAGACACATGTTGCCTTCTTCATGTGCTGCAGAGCCCCTCACTCAACTGTAGGCTTGGTGACAGCAGGGACTTTGCTCCGTGAGGGAACATGCCAATGACTCTGAGCTGTTCCTCCACCCCAGGGTCTCCTCTCCACCTCCACCGCACTCCTAGCTGCCTGCCTCTCCGCTCCTGCCCACTCAGTTGTTTCCCAGGCTTCTCTGCACAGGGACGGTGCTCCTGGCAGAGGGAGAACATGGAAGTGCGCTTGAGGTCGTCTGAACCCTGGAAGGTGGCCAGTGCAGTGGAGAGGCTGTTCAGGGGGATGGGCACCCCGGGCAGGGCCTTGAGGGCCAAGCTCGGAGTCTGGCCCTGCCGTGCAGGTGACTGTCTCCTCCCTGATACTTGGCTCACGCCCCCCAGCTCCAGCCGCCTGCACCTCAGCCTCACCTGCAGCAGTTCACTTCATGTTTCACCAAGAAGACACTTACAAGCTGGAAGATAACTTCCGTGAACTCCCACATGCCTTCCTGCCTGCCGGTGTGCCCGTTTCCACCTCCTGTCACTCCTCTGCGCAGAGAGCCTGTACTCTGGGGAAGGCAGAAACTAGGCCCCGAGTCCGTCCCCCATTCCACACCAGTCAGCAACGACCTGCCCGCTCCCCACCTTGACAGCTGAACCCCTCGACAGACTGGTGCGCGCGCTGCTGGCAGTCTCTGCAAGCCTCTTCGATCTGGCCTCTGCCCCCGCCATGCCCCGGCAGCTTTGAACACCACCTTCCCGAGATGTTCTGAACGGATTGCAGGGGCTGGCGCACAGCACTGCGAACATATCGGAATCGCGCCACTGAACCGTACACACCGAACAGGCGAGCTGCATGTTATGTGCGTGGAATCTCGATAAAGCTGTTACTTAAAGAAAACACACTGCACTCTGATTTCTCCATGCCAGACGTCTTCTCTGAATTCCTCGCTCATTTACTGAACCGCCCAACCAGCACCTCTGCTTGGAAGGCTAACGGGGGTCGAACTCCCCTCCCAAACCTGCCTTTTCCACAGCAGAGTATCTTGGTTGATGGATACTCTAGGCCCAAACCAGACCAGAAATCTTGCATCATCCCCCAGTCTGCTTTCTCTCCCATCGCACCGCCACTTCCTTTCTAAACTCAGAATCTCTCCCCCTCGTGCCCCTGCCACAGCCACAGCCTGATCCCAGTGATCAACACTTCCTGCCTGGGTTATCCTAAGAACCCCTGACATGGCTCCCTGCTTCCACTCCAGCTCCTAGTCTACTGTCAGCAGAGAAGCCAGTGTCTCACAGCACAGCTCAGACCATGTCTCTGCTCAAACCCTCTAATGGTTCCCTATGCCGCCGGCGGTAAAAGCCCAAAACCCTTTCCATGGCCTGCAGAGCATTAGATCCTCTCCCACTGGTCTTCCTTTCCTCATTCTGCGCACCACACGGACCTTTTCTTTTTCCCTTTTTATGGAGATTGATATATGCCCCCGTGTACGTTTAAGGGGTACAACGTGATGATTAGACACCGTCTACGTCGCTTAATGCTGACCACGAGGTGAGCTGAGACGTCGCTCCGCTCTCAATTACCGTTCGCGGACCTTCTGGGTGTTGCTGGGACACACTAGGCTGCCCCCACCCAGCTGCTAAATGTCTGCACCGCCTGCCCCCTTTTTCAAGTGTCAGCGCTCCCCGCCGGGCCCGCGCCCCGCCTCCGCCCACGAGAGCCCTGTGCACCGGGCACCGCAGCACCGAGAGTGCTGTGCGCAGGAGCACACTCTCAGGAACGGGCTGGGGGCGCACAGGAACATGCCAGCAGCCGCACGCGGGCCACAGCACGAACGGCGCCCCCACAACCGCAGGGCCGGGGGTGCCAGGATCGACCCGCCGGCCGGCCTTGCGCCTAAAACCCCGAGCTTCGGGGCCTGCGCACGCGTCCCTCCGCGTACGCCCACTGCCCTCCCCGACGCGGCCCCGCGCCCTCCCCTAGACGGGCGACCCCGGCCTCCGTACCTGCGTGTCACCCAAGCCCGACGCCCGCCCCTCAGCCGATCTGACTCTTCAGCACCCTCCTAACGAGGGCCGCTTCCGGCAGTGGGAGAGCAACTTCCGGAATCGAAGCCAATCAGCGAGCCCGAGGGGAGGCACAGGAGTAGGAGGCGGGACGGGCTCCGCTTCCGGTAACGGAAGCACAACTTCCTGACTCGGAGCCAATCAGCGGGCCCAAGGAGAGGCACAGGCGCATGGGGCGAGTCGGGGCTCCGCTTCCGGCGTCAGGGTCTGGGGAAGGGGCGCAGGCGCCATGTCCGGCCGTGAGGGTGAGTGTGGGGCCTGCGGGCCCCGGCGGAGGCCCGGGCGGAGGGACGGGAGGCGGGTGCCGGCTGAGCGTGCTCCTGTCGCCCTCAGGTGGCAAGAAGAAGCCCCTGAAGCAGCCCAAGAAGCAGGCGAAGGAGATGGACGAGGTAAGGGCGGGCGCGGGGCGTGGGCGGGCGCGGGCGCCCCGGGACACCCGCACGAACCCGGCCTGCCTCTCCCTAGGAGGACAAGGCGTTCAGGCAGAAGCAGAAGGAGGAGCAGAAGAAACTCGAGGAGCTGAAAGCGAAGGCCGCGGGGAAGGGCCCCCTGGGTAAGGGAGGCCCGGACCGGGCGTCAGTCTCGCCTTTGCTTTGGGGCCCGGCTGCTCGGGTCGCTGCGGAGGCGGCCCTGCCGGGCGGGACCGGGCGACTCTGGAAAAGATGTCGCCCGCCTCCCCGGCCTTCTGGGCCGCGCCTTTTCAGAGAAGGAATGGAAACACAAAATTCATGTATCTTAGACACAAATTACTTGAGCTTCCAAATATCCTCCACAGTTTCTTGCCTCAAATTCGTACTCTACGGCTTCTTTATTGCGTAAAATATTTCTTAACTACTGATCTTAACTCTAGTGAGTAGCTTTGCATGATGAGCCCTCTCTTCTGGATGTGCCGAAGCGATGCAGTCCAGGCCCCTTAGCTGTACGCTTTCAGGACCCGATCGCCCACCGGTCTGTGAAATACGCGGCACGGTGTAGATCCAGACCAGTGCGCGGTCATGACTTGTGCCCCCGCTTTATCCTGCTCCTCCCCAGGACAGCCAGTACCGGGAAAGCCCTATTCGCATCTGTGTCAGGAACGCCCCGTACAAGGGCCGATCCTTACTAGGATCTGTATCGGGCCTCGGGGGCTTTTACCATAAGAACCGTATTTTTCCCTGGCTGAGACCTTTTTTTTTACCTTTTGCAGCCACAGGTGGAATTAAGAAATCTGGCAGAAAGTAAGCTGTTCCTTGTGCCTGAGGCAATGGTGATCTTTAATTCCATTCCTGTTTAAACATGTGGATTCCCTGCCATACCATCTGTTGCCACCTGTAGCTAGAATGAATTATTGTCTTGGGCCTGTTGTACATTTAATAAAGTAAAAAAAAATTATTTTTTTAAGTTATACAGTGGTTTTCTCTTCTCTCAAGAGTAGTTCTTCTCACTCAGCCATTTCTACTTTAGCTGTAAGATCAGAGTAAATGCAGACCAGCATTCTAACGAAGTGTGCTCTTGTCTTTATTCTATCCCAAATTCTGTACCACCTGAAATTAAACCAACTCTTGAAATGACCGTTGTTTTTGTGTAGTTGTACCCAATGGAATACATTACAGGAGGTTAGTGGAAATAAAACCCATCTTTCTTTGTTATGACATCCACATTGTCATTTGTGGTAATAGGGTTCATCTATCATATGAGGTGTCTGCTACGTGCAGGTGGGGGCCTGTTACCAGCAAACAATTGTGTTGTCAGGGAACTTATGTATTGCGGGAGGGGAGCAGGACAAATACATAAGGTGTGTGCTATAAAGGGAAGACTAGGGAAAGGAGAGATTCCTGAAAGTCAGAACCACTAGGGTTTCAAAAAGGTTCCTGCTAGGTTCACATGTACACCCTACGTCCATCCCATCAGCAACATTAAATCTGACCCCTGCTTTCTTCCTCCAAGGCCACCCCTCCCTCTATTCTCACCCTAAAATCCCCACCCTGGGTTGCCACAGTCAGTCTTCCTGCCCTTGCTCCCTACAATAGAATCTTCACTCAGGACCCAGAATGTTCTTGCTAAACTGGAAAGTCATAGTTTTGTCTCCTTGGCTCAGAATACTTGAGTGGCTTCTCACAGCAAAAGCCAGAGTCCCAGCAATGCCACTGAGGCCCTAACATCTGGATGCCACTCCCTAATAGCTACTGTTCATCCCCGTGACCCATCTTGAGCCACAGTGGTATACATAGCCGGCAAGCTCCTGCCTCACTGTTGTCACCAGCTTGCTTCTGCCTGTCCCTCTTCTGGGTGCTGGAAGCCACTTCCCTTGAGAAAGCCGGTACATACAGCACAGCAGGGAGCTGCTCCCTGACTGCGCTATGGACAGTGGTAGTCCCAAAGTCTTACTAGTTTCATTTTGTTCTGGTGTCTGCCAATTATCTACTATCCTTTATTCCAGGAGTAAATGACGAGAGAGACCATCCATGTGTACTAAATGCGTATGTATTGAAAACAATTCAGAAGCACCAGTCTTTGAATTTCTCCTGTAGGCCCTTGGTACAAATATGGGAATGCTAAACTTCCTCTGAGAATGTGTGTTCAAAATGGGCTCTAGAAATATTCTGAGAGTTTGCGAAGTCAAAACTGGGAAAGGTTTTGATAGATCAAAACCTGTTTTATGACTCCAAGTTACTTGATATTAATATGAAAAATGCTTTGGTCTTGTGCTGGAAAGTCGTGCAGCCAGCAGCACCTTCTGTGGACTTCTAAATTCCCGTGGGCCCTGTGGTGCTGAGAGCCAGTGCCAGCATACCAGAGAATCACCTATTTTACTTCTGTTCAGTGAAACCTAATCCCTTCTGACAAATGAAGTGCAATCCTTTCTCTACAGGGTCAGACACCCGCAGCAATTAAGCATTCAACATTTGGGCCCCTATCTGAGCAACCCTACCAGTCGCCTCAACAGTAAACTCAGGTGTTGAAGACCTAGATCCTGACTACCACTTCCCTTTATTTACTGCTTTCACAAGCCCTCGCAGGCTGGCTGCGAGCCTGCAAGGGTAAAGGGTCTTGCCTCCTCCTGTCCAGCACCCTGCTGCTAGCTGCCCAGTGAGATCCCGTCAAGCGCACGCCCAGCTTGAATCGGTCTCGGAAGCCTTACCTCCTCTTTCTGCCGCCTGTAACTCCTGCCCGGCACTCGCGCGGCCTCCATTTCGGTGTGGCTTTCTCGTCCGAGTGGCCTGTGCCAGCGTCCTTGCTAACTCTGCGATAACTCCCAGTCAACCCAAAGGACGGCCCAGGCGCCACTTCCAGGGGGTCTTCCCTGACCCGAGCCTAACGGCTTCTACAGCCAGCGCTTGGGACAGAAGCACTCAAACGCTCTGGAGAAATGGATGAACGGCTGTTAGTCTAAGCGGTTCGCTCCCTCCCACGCAGGCCACCTTCTCAGGGTCACCCATTCTCGGGCCCTTCCTACCACCTGCACCCTAAAAGCACACATTCAAAACATTCACTGCTCCCTAGGGCCCTGGGGCTGAGGAGAGCCCGACGGAGCCCCTGCGCGACCTGCCCTGTGCGCACGCGAGCCCCTCCGCGCGGCTGTGCACCCCGCGGCCCAGGGAGGGGCGCAGAGCCCCGCAAGGTGGAGCGTGGTACCTGGCGCCCGCGCCCAGAGCTCCTGCCGCGGCCCCCCGGAGCCCAGCCGAGGGGAGGGCGGCGGGGGGCCCCGCGGCGCGCGTGGATGTGCGTCATCCCTCTGCGCCTGCCGGCAGCTGATTGGCTGGGGGCGTGGCCGGGGGAGGGGCGCGGGCGGTAGTTCCGGCGCTCGGGTCCGGCGGCAACCAGGCCGGGCTCGGCCCCGTAGGCTACTCTCCGACGGGCGGCATGGCTGCAACCTCGGCGCCGGGCAGCCGGGGACGGAGCGGGGCCCCGCCGCCCAGCGCCGGGCACCCTCCCAGCAAGCGGGCCCGGGGCTTTCCCGCGGCCGCCGCCCCGGCCCCCGAGGACCCGTTCGGCGCTCACGAGGACTTCACCGCCGACGACCTGGAGGAGCTGGACACCCTCGCGTCACAGGCCCTGAGCCAGTGCCCGGCCGCCGCCCGGGACGCGTTCAGTGAGTGCGCCTCGGCCTCCCCCGGACCGCGCCGGGCCCGCGGCGTCCGCGGCTTCGGAGCCCCACGGCGACCGCCGCGCGGGGGTCGGGCACCCACACTCCTTCACCTTTTTAAGTAGAACAGCTTGATTTAAGCAGCACTTGTGTTCCAAAAGGCCCCTTGACTTGGGAGAGAAACACATCAAGAATGTCAAACAGTCGGTCTGAGATGTAGAAAGCTAGGTCAACATTTTAGTTTCCCAAGGTTGGGCCACTAGGTTCTTGGTCGTAGGCAGAGATCTTTGGCACACGACCACCCTCAGAAGCGTCCCTGCCCATGCGCGAGGGCCCGTCCCTGCGACAGGTTCGGGAGGCTTTGGATCTGGTGGAGGTCACTTTCCCCTCTGGGCCGCAGGAGCACAGGAGGTGCTGGCAGCGGCGAGCGATGAAAGGGACTTCTCTTTTACACGATCAAAAATCCGATTAGGTGCGCAAACCCCCGGAGCCGCAGCGCTAGAACCCCTCCTTCGTGGAGCTTGCATTCCACTCGGGGAATGAGCGCCGTCCTCTGGTGCTCAACAGAAAGGTTTTGAAGACACCACGCCTTCTCTCCTGGGATGTCTCACAGGCATCTTGGATTGTTCATCATCGTTCCCCGGAAACCCAGTCGTCCTCCGGCACCTCCAGCGGTGCCTGGCAAAGCAGGCGTTCTGAGAGTACTTGCTAATGACTAAACACCGTGCACAGCAGTTGCCAGCACCACTGCTTTAGGGGGCACAAGGCGACAGCTCCCTTTTCTGTACACTCCTGATTCCACTCCGAATCCTGTGACATCGCCTTCATCCATCTCCGGAACCCATCATCTCTGCCACCTCCCTAACCTGTTACCATCATCTCTCCCCTCTGGGCAACAGTCCACTAAACTGTCTCCCCGTTTCCAGTGGTGACACACCAAGTCAGACTTCACACCACAGCCAAAACTACCATCAGGCTGCATCTCACATGCATACATACATGTCAGCATCCCTTTAGTGACTTACCACTGCCTTTGGTATAAAGATCAAAGTCCTTAACATGGCCTTCCAGGCCCAGCATGGTTTGGCCCTTTCCTGCTCTGGGTTCTAGCCACACTGACCACACTTACTCCTTGAATTTTCTCTGCTCCTGCTCCCTTATAGTGAACAGCTCTGTGTGTCAGTTTCCTGTACAGTGAATGATTGTTCCACCCTCATCCCCATCACTTCTGTGTGGAGGCCTTCCAGTCATTCCTGTTGGATCAAATCCCCCTATTAAAGGCTTTCCCATGTTTGTTATCTGCAGCTCTTACCACAGTTGTAATTTTATACTTATTGGTGTGATTATTTTTTAATATAGTGTAAACTCCATGAATGTAAAGACTGTATATCCATTTTGCTCACCATTGTACCTTTAGAGACTAAACTGTGCCTGACATATTGTAGGGTTCAGTGAATACTGTTCAATCACTGAGTTCCGACTGGTGAGATCCATCCCCATTCTTCGGTTTTTAGATAGACTCTTAAAATTCAGTAGCAGGTGTGAGGAGAGGGTGGCAGGGTATATTATTTCATGAACATCATTTCTGAGTTGGAATACATCCTTAGATTAGAAAATACTGCTTACTAGATTCTCTAATTTGTTTTCAAGGGTGATGCTTTTCAACATTGTTGGCCAAAGTGGGAATATATTAGGTCCTGAAGAGTCTATTGGAACTGTCTTTTACAGATATTCATAAGGTCCCCAGATTAGATGGGATGTCAAAAACTCCTGCAGCGGGAAACAGAGAAAATGTTCCAGTTAAAGATAATTTTGAACTAGAGGTACTTCGGGCACAATACAAAGAACTTAAAGAAAAGGTAAGTGACTTAACGTTTTTTTTGTAGCTAATTCATTCACGCATGCATGCCTTATAAAGCACTGTACAATAAAATACATAAAGGTTTTAAAACAGAGCCCAGATTCATCTCCATGAAATGGGGGAAGGCTGGGGAAAGAAAGCCAGAAAGTTGAGGCTTAAGGAAACTAAACTCTCAGATCCCTAAGAGCCAAGGCAAGAAAAGGAGCCTTGCACATCGTCCCAGGGGTGCAAACTTCTGCTGAGGCACCAGATGGAGGCACAGAATGTGCCCTATGTAAGGCATCATGCTGATCGCTATTCTCACGCACAGTTTTGCAACAGTTATCTTTCATGTGACCATATATAGGTTCATAGGAAAACCAGGAACATAATGTGGAGCTTGAGTTCTGTGAAGTGTGTGACCCAGACTGTTTAAGGCCTAAGAGGGCCTACAGAATCTGCATGCGTGAGACAGTGTGTCCTTAAGTTATTTTCTTGAATATCACCTGCCCACAAATGGGCCTACGGAGCCCTGGCTCGTATGGACATGTCGTGAGCGCTCGTCGGCCTGTGTGACATCTTACGTATGCTTTCTCCATCTCCCTAGCTACATGCTGAAATGAGTACTTATGTAATTTTCCCTTACAAACGTTTTACAAGATTGATTTGGGATTTACAGATGAAGACAATGGAAGAAGACATCCTCATTAAAAATGGAGAAATTAAAATTTTGCGAGACTCACTGCATCAAACAGAATTCATCCTGGAGGAGCAGAGAAGGTCACATTTCCTTCTTGAGCAGGAGAAAACTCAAGCACTCAGTGATAAAGAAAAGGAATTCTCCAAAAAGGTGAGCAGAGCCTTGGTTTTGTTTGTTATGGACATTGGCTTTGTCTGCCAAGTTCCTGTAGGAACTCTGACCAAAGCTGCCTGCAAGTCTTCCAGAAAGATTTAAACACCGGTTTGTCTTAAATACTTCCTGCTACCAGCTAATTGCCTGTGGTTTGGAAAAGGACTTAGATGGAACTGCTTTGCTCCGGCAGTCGGTCTTGGCAAGAATAAATCACTAGCTTAGACTCTCCAGAAACAGGCTTAAATTAGAGCTTTTTGGCAAATCAAAACTCAGTTGACCTAGCTAAAAGAAATGTACTTCCATAACTAAGTCTGGGAAAGACACACACGTGTGGTGGGCCTTGCACAAGTTGAGCCTCGCCAGGACCCATCTTTACTCTCTACACCACAGTCAGGCTCCATCCCTACGGTAGAGGACATGCTCTCCAGAGATCCCTGCGCTCAAATTTCATAACTCCAGAGCAGACTGAAAATCTGGGCTCTCCCTTCTCAAGTTTTTAAATGCTGAGGAAGGCTCTGATTGGTCTAATCTGGGTCAGGTCCTGCCCTGCAGTGGCTGGGGTGAAAGTTCCGTACAGACCCCATAATGAGAGGGGGAAATGGCCTTCTCAGGGCAGGGATCTAATAGGTAGCACCACTTGCCTTCAGCACTTCCCTAGGCTCCAATCTCAAGGACATGGGGTCTTATTCTGCCATTTCTTCATTCAGGAAACCTAGCACACTTTAAAGAATAATGGACCAGGGCCTTTCCTTATACATGGTGAAGAACAAAGGATTTACCAGCAGAGCAGAGACTGAACCCAGGCTTTATCACATACAAGCGGTGACCTCAGGGTAATGACCTGGCTCTATGGCTCGTTCCCTTAGCTGCTCCAGGAAATCACCCAAAGGGTCTCCATGTGCCAGCGGGCTCCAGTGCTGTGCCTGGCTCCGTGGCTGCTGGCTCTAGGCCACAAGACCAGAGCGGCACCATCTCCCCACCTGCACGGGGTCTTGCTAAAACTTCCAGACATGCTGCCCAGGCTTTAGAGGAGACCTGGAATTGGGTGCCACTGAGTTCACGAAGAGGCCAATGCGTCCCTGTGCGGCGTGGTGTCCAAAGGCTCTGCACCAGGAGCCTGACATTTATCACTCTGACTGTCTCAGAGAGGCTGAGTCTGTGGTCCTGAACCTCACTGGCCACCTCACAATAGTTTTGTGCAAAAGTCTCTAGAACACCATGCTGCCTCTCAGGAAGGAGGCTGACCCTTGGTCTTTTAGGACATTTATGCCACAACCAACTTCCATACTTGTTTCTCATCGTTTCTCCTTCCCCAGCTTGAGATTCCGAAGCCCAGAGATGTTTCTGTGTCTGTGGCAGGCACACTACAGGTGTGTTGTTTCTGCTTCCAGCTCCAGTCACTGCAGTCTGAACTTCACTTTAAAGATGCAGAAATGAATGAGTTGAGGACAAAGCTTCAAAGCAGTGAGCGAGCAAATAAGCCGGCTGCCCCCTCCATTTCCCGTGCCAGGTAAAGTGGTGCTGGGGGAGTGGCTTTGCATCGTTCGGTGGAGAGTCTGAATAGGACTGTCAGGCTAGTCCTGAAGGAAGGCCACTTACACTCTGTCACCTGGACGTGGGCCTCAGCAGTGGTTCGGATGAGGCTTGACTGGTTTGGAGCATCACAGCTGAGAGGCAGGCATAGAGGAGGTTGTAAACACAACTCCTTGGGACCGGAAAAGGCTGCAGAGATGCTCTCCAAACTTTGGGAGTAGGCCAGACTTTCTTTTCATGTTATCTTGTTTCAAATAACTGGCTGTGCTCCATGCATGAGTGTATTTCCATCCCAACTACGTGCAATACTGTTTGGCACTGGCTGCCCTGGGACCTCTGTCCAGCAGCCCCTTAGCTGCAGATGCGATGAGCTTGTGAGTAGTCTGGCACACCGTTGGCATCAGCCCTGGAACTGAAACAGAATAGGTCAGGGCGTCTAGTTGTGCTGCTGCCTTTGTTCCTAGTAAGCGGGGTGTGAATCTGAGCTCTGCTTGCCCTGCCTGGTCCAGGGAAGATGGGAGGGCAAGGGGTCACCCCGTGTCTTCACACATCACTGGCAGAAGGGCCCGAGCATGCCTGGCCCCACCAGAGGGCTCCAACTGCTGCTCAGACAGACACCCGGCACTGAGGGACTGGCACAGTTTTCAGCTCTCAAGATGTCAAGACACAACTGACTTCTGAAGGACGCTCTTTCTAGAAAAATCTTTGAATTCAGTCCCTGACTATTAAAAAAGAGGTTGTTCCACACTGAAAAGATGTTTGGGTGGAAATGGAAATAGTAATGGAGTTGTGGCCAATATTTTTGGGTGATTATGGAAATACGGAAACAAAGATTTTATTCAATAATTTGGATAAATATCCTTGAATTTTATACTACTATCCTGATTTAGAATGAGAAATATGTTTATTTATTTCATATAAATATAAAAGAGAGAAAACCTTTGGTCAGATCTCCAAGACACGCAAAGTTTAAAGTTTGTTAGAAGTTTTGTAATAGGTATTTTAAGTGTCTTTAGCAGAATCATTACTGTGGGTTCATAGTTAGCTTTTTCCAGTCCTAGGAAAAGCCCTTCTGTGATCATGAAGCCAGAAGCATGTTCTCCACAGTTTGAAAAGCCATCTTTTCCTACAAAGGAGTCCTTCAGTGCTAACATGCCCCTAGCCCACCCCTGCCAGACAGAGCCAGGATACAAGGCCCTGGTGGGCAGGGAGGGTAAGTCCGTCCATCTGTCATCTCTTGGGTATAACAGATTACTTGAACTTGAGCCTAAAACAGCGAGTGTCTATATTTTCTCCTGGTTTCTGGGACCAGCACTTCTGACGGGGCGCAGTGAGGAGGCTGGTCCTTGCTGGGCCCTTCTGGCAGCTGGAGGGGCTGTTTCAGAGCGACTCACCTGCATGGCTGGCAGACTTCTCCCCATCTGGGCCTCTGCGTAGGGCCCCTTGGGTGACCTCAGAACCTGGCAGACGGCCTCCCCAGGAGCCCACAAGCCCAAAATAGCCGAATGGGCACCATCCTTCATGTGGCCTCACCTTGGAGTCGCATAAGCATCACCCCCGCATGTTCCGTTTGCAGTGAGTCACTGAGCCTGGGCCACGTTCAAGGAGAAGGGAAGTAGGCTGCACCTTCTGAAGGGAAGTGTGTTTAAGAATTTGCAGGCATATTTTACAGCCTCCAGGGTCAGTGTCCACTGATGGACCAGAAACAAGGCAACATGGGGGGCCCGTGCTCCCCTCACTCGGTGAAGCTCCGCCCAGACCGCAGGGAGTGCCTGCTTCAGGAGAGCCAAGCCAGCCTTAGCAGCCACGGCTGTGGCTCCTGCTTTTATGTCACTGCCTCATTTTGAAGTGGGGCTGAGCGTAATTTGCCTTGTATGAGTTCTTCCACGTGCAAAAAAAAAGAGGGTTCTTACGTCACTGGCTCTTAGTTTGGTCCAGAGTTGAGGAAGTGGAGCACCCGGTGTTTGCAGCTCGTTGTTTACATTTCTGCATGCCTGTGCTTTTCTGCTCAAGCTTTGCTTCATGTTTTATTTACTTGTAGAGACTAAGATCCCCAGTCTGGGGGGTGACCCCATAAAGCAAGAAGAGCCCCAGAAAAGTCTTGTGGACACATGGACGCAGAGCTCAGATGCTGCAGGTACCAGAGTTACTGACCCTTGTCCAGGAGACCTGCGTGGCTCCCATGGCCCTCAGCAGGAGGAGGTCCTGGGAACCCTTCGGCTCTGGGAGCCAGTACCCCAGGCAGAGGCCCTGGTGCCAGCGGTCTGCGACTTCTAGCAGGGACTCAAGTGGAGAGGCCACGGGCAGGCACATCCCAGGGCCTCCAGCCCCACGGGCCCCGCAGGCATCCTGAAGCCCTCAGCTGTCCCTCCGAGGCCGTGGGCAGTGCCTCTCACGCCAGAGCCTCTCAGTCCTTGTCTTCTGCAGGTTCCACTCTGATAAGCCTTCTCCTGAAGCAGCCTCTGACCCCAGGGTCACCCCTTGGGCTGTGCCACCTTCTGAGCAGTTGTCCTGAGGCGCCAACTGGCACTCTGTTACAGCCCCTAGGGTTTGGCAGGTAATGAAAAGCCCCTAAAAAATTTGTTTGGGAAGGAGTTTCTGGGAAGCAAGTTCCATTTCCAGGCTGGCCTGGGAGGCCTGGGCACTGGGTGGGGAAACCAGAGGACTGGTGGGCAGGGGTCCTGGGGCCCTCAGCCTTGTCTCCGCCTCACACCTAGTATTTTCTTTTGTATTTGTTACTAGTTCCTTGACTGGAATTTCAAGCCTGCGGGCCACGGGTTCCCGCGATGTGCTGTTTCCCCCCTTGGCCCTGAAGGAAGCACGGAGCCTGGCACTTACTGGACTCAATCTGGTTGCCAGGGATGAAGGCTCATGTGACAGGGACGCAGGCGAGGAAGGCAGAAGGCCCTTCCCACTTTTCCGGCTTCCTGGCGCTGTGCATCTCCTTCCCCTGCTGGAGCTCTTCATCGGCTCACTCTGCCAGGCTCTGCAGGACTGGGCGGCAGCCAAGAGAAGCGGGGCTCCCGGGGACCCCCCGGCAAACTCCCCCTGCATGAGCACCAGGGCAGAGGCCAGCCCCGAGGACGCCCTCCGCACGCTGGAGGGCTTCTCTGCGGCTTCACTCGGCGTGCTCCAGCACCTGGTGTGCCACAGTGGGGCAGTCGTCCAGCTGCTGCTGTCAGGGGCGGGGCCTGAGTCCGCGGCCAGGGAAGGAAGCCGGAGCCTGGGTCGCAGCCGGGATCGTGGGCAGGAGCCCTCAGCCCCATGGGCGCTTGGTGACCAAGGCCAGCATCCACTACTGAAGATGCTGCTTCGCCTGGTGGCTTTTTCTTCTACAGCAACAGGTCACCTTCAAGCCAGTGTCCTCAGCCAGTGCCTTGAGGTTTTGGTGAAATTAGCTGAAAATGCTCCCTTTGATTTCTTGCCCAGGTACGATGCAGCGTGGTCTTACCTGGCCTCTCGAGGTCTGTCCTGTGGCCCTCATACTTTGCTCATATCTTGGCTCGTCTGGGCTGCTCATCTCTAAGCCTGGTTTAGGCTCTAAGGCTTTGTTCAGGGAGCTCTGAAGTGGTAGGAAGCAGGGCCAGGTGCCGGGAGGGCCACAGAGGTGGTTTATCTGGCTCAGTTCCGCCTCTGTACAGAGGGCACGCCAAAGCCACACCTGCTGGAAGGCGGTCAGCGCCACAGAAGAGCTCCCTGCCCCTCGTCAGACAAAGGCTGGACCCAGAGGCCTTTGGACCTGGGACGTGCATCAGGTGAAGACCACATATGACCACACTTAGGCGGGACAGGGTTCCCTAGGGAAGCAGAGGGGGTGCGGACAGGTGCCCCCAAGGTTCTAAGCAGTCTACCGGCTGACCTTGCTGGGAGTCTGCCTGTCGTCACCGTTCCCACTTCTGGTACGAGCCACGGGTTACTTGCCCCTCTTAAGGTTTGTGAGAAGTGGCCGTGTTGTGAGCCCAGCTGGAAGCACTATTGCCGTAAATTCCTAACTTGGGATTGTGGACTTGCAGCCTGGGAGGCGCTGACCACACAGTCCCAGCAGCCCCCTTGGAAGGCCCCTCCCAGAGGCCACTTCCCAGGGGGAATGACTCCTCTGGGCGCACACAGCATCTCAGTCTCTGAGCTCAGCACCCCTGTTTCCTAAAAACACTCTGGACCCTGGTTTCCACTGGAACGCACTCTGGCTGGCCTGTGTGGGTGGCGCTGTCACCCAGGTGTCTGGCAGGAGTCACGTTTTTACCAGTCCTGTTGGCGGAGGCACCGTCGTTCCTTATGGACAAGCTCCTCCAACAGGACGTGGAAAACAGCCATGGAGTGGGTGCTCACTGCAGGTGTGGAGACCCCAGAGCCCTGTGTCCTCAGCCCGGCCCGGCCCGGCTCCCTGTGAGCACCCAGAATCCACTTGGCAAATAGGCCCTGGCTGAGGCGGGAACTTCTGCAGGCCCCAAGGGGCCGTGAGGGGCTCAAGCTCCTGGAGCCGCCGCCCTTGACCACTGGCACCGCCTCCCATTCAGTGCTGGTCTTCAGTCCCTGTGAACTGAAGGCCAGCACCACACACCAGCTACCAGCTCCCTCTGAGTGGAAGCGGGGCCCGGCCTCCTAGCGCCGCATGGCTCCTGCAGGGCACCCTGCCTGCCCAGGCCTGAGGGCAATGACCCCCGCAGGCCCTGCGCCTCCCGCAGCGTCCGTCCGTGGAGGCCAGGAGTGCAGGGCTGTGCCCCAGGTACTGGGGAGGCAGGGCCTTTTGACCAGATGGTCTTGTCCCCACCTTCCACCAGAGCAGCATATGTGTCACCTATGTGTGTTTAGAGGTCCTACACAGAAACCCACTTAAAAAGGAGGCTCTGATGCCATCAAAAGCAGGATTCATGTGCAGGGATGGATTTTTCCCACAGGTAATTCGGGGAACTTCATGGACTAGCCGGGGCCACTTCCGGCCTAATAATGGAACCGGGAGCAGCCAGGCTGAGTTCCAGTCCCACACACACAGTCCCACATTCCCTGGCAATTGGAAACGCGGTTGACCACCCACTTCACAGAATCTGCTCTAAAATGAGTTCACGACAAATAGTGGGACCCTGCTTCCTGACAGCACAGGGGGAAGATCCTCAGTCGTCAGTGCTGGCCCTGAGACGCCGCGGGGCAGGGGGCACACAATCGCCCTGCTCGCCCCCACGGCTGTAGTGAGCCAGCAGCACTGTTTGTCCGGGGCCGTCACCCCGTGGCCCCTGAACCCCTCCCCGGCGCATACCCATGGGTACCTACCTTCTCATTCTTGGTGGCAGAGGAGCCGCCTTCTGACAGGTGGAGAGGGTCTTCCTTGCTCAGTGAGCAGTCTCATGAGGTGCAGCCACAGTCAGGTCCACGTCTGTCCCTCCAGAACCTGGCCAGTCCTTTGATGGCGGGCACAGGATTTCTCACACCCACGTTAGGACCTGCCTATTGGGCAGCAGAGACTGGGCCCCTCAGATCAGAGAGGCAGTCCCCCATTGGCTGTGTGGTGCTGTGCCAGGTAAGGGCCTGTCACTGCTAAGCCACAGCAGCCCTGCAGGGAAGGGCAGTCCCTGGCGGCCATGTGCCATAAGCGCTCTAGCAAGCCGGTGGTGGTTACCTGGCCCTGGGCCCAGATCTCTGAATACGTCTTTGCACCAGCCCTGCCTGCATCTGCCATCTGCTCGGCTGTGCCACAGGCTGGATTGGAGTGTCCCGGGTCCTGGCCTGTGTTTCAGGTTGCAGGGCTTGTTCCGCATACTGCCGCAGTGCCTCCGCCCAGAGACAGCCCTGCCCAGCGTGCTGGGTGCCGTCCAGCTCCTCTCCCTCCTGGGGGACCACCAGGGGCTCGCGCCGCAGCTCTGCTCCCACTCAGGTAAAGCTCCTGCAGGCAGAGGCAAGGGTGGGCGCTTGTGCCCCGTCTTGGGGGGACCCAGAAAGTACCCTTACTGAGATGGGGCATCCTTTTCAGGGGGCTGCCCCCTCCTGCTGCTTTACACGTACATCACCTCAAGGCCCAGCAGAGCAGCCTCAGAGATGCAGTGGCTCCAACTGGAACAAGAGGTGAACTGCTCAGCATCCCCACCCCACAGCCACTCCTGCCTCAAGAGGGGTTCATTCATTCATTCTGGTAATGAGGTCAGCTGCTAACAGACTCAGGTTAAGGGCTCCATGCTGCACAGATGCAACACAGGTGGACCCCCGGTGTCCTGGGACTTGGCAGAGTTGCCCAGAACCTGATCCTGCCCTGGCTTTGTGGCAGCAGTGGCCAGAGATGGACCTAGAGAGGGGTGGGGGAGGGGTGGGGGTGGGGTCGCTGGTGAGACTCAGGTGTTCGTCCGAGTCCAGCCTGGGATGGTCCCACAGCTCCCCCTCCTGGACCTGCTGTGGCCAGGGCCCCGCTCCTCCCCACATGGGCAGTCTGTTCTTGTTCTAGGTCGTGTGGCTCTTGGCCAAGCTGGGTGTGCAGAGCCCCTCCTTCGTCACTGGCTCCGGCTGCCAGTGCAACGTGGAGGTGAGTGCTGGGGGCACCAGGGGTCCTGCTGCAGGGACCCCATGTTCCCCCTACCCCAGTACCACTCACCTGGGCTGGAGCAGAGACGCCAGTTGCGAGTGTGCTGGGGTGCGAGCATCTCAGGTGAGCTGGGCCCGCTCCCCAGGTGGTCAGAGCGCTCACGGTGATGCTGCACAGACAGTGGCTGATGGTACGGAGGGCAGGCAGGCCGAGGACGGGCCTGCAGAGGCGGGTGGTGCGGTGTCTGCGGGACACGGCCCTGCTTCTGCACAGCCTGTCTCGGGACAAGCTCTTCACCGTGCACGGCGTGGAGGTCCTGCACCAGTATGACCAGGTGATGCCGGGGGTCAGCATGCTGATTCGAGGGCTCCCTGACGTGACGGACTGTGAAGGTGAGCCGGCAGAAGGGTCCCCACCCCCACCTATGCGTGGGTCCCCTGAGCCTTCCTGGCCCCATGCCGCCAGCCACAGCCGTGGCCAGCTCTTTTCTCTGAGTGTGTGGGATACTGTGCCCCCATCTGTGAGCCAGCCTGGCAAAGCCGTGGTGTTAACCCCCTGTTGGAATTGCCATGGTGTCACTCAGCTTGCAGTGGCTGGGGGAGCACGGCCTGGGTGGGGGGGGTACTGGTCAGCCCTGCAGGCGTGAGGGGCACTGCCAGTCACCTCCAGGCCTTCACCACAGAACCCTGTTTTGGCCCAGAGGCAGCCCTGGATGACCTCTGTGCTGCTGAGGCCGATGTGGACGACCCCGAGATGGACTGTGGCTGAGGCCAGGACTGGCCCGCGCGGCACCAGCTCCAGGACTCTCCTCACCCCATCAGCTGATTAAAAGCAGCCAGCAGTGCGCCTGTCTTGAGTCTGCTCTTGATTGTGGGTGGTGGCGCAGCGGCACAGCCAGGAGGGCTCTGCCAGTCCCTGGCTGAGGGGACCCTGCCCTCTTGGCAGCACATATGCCTGGGGAAGGGGCCCTCCCTGCCCCTGGGATTGTCCTGAGTCACCGCTTTGGGCCGAGGCCAGGGGAGAAACCTGATTGGCAAGGAGACGGCCCTGAGGCCGGGCCTGCACCAGGGAGGGTGGGAGGCTGGGGCCCCGGGCCGTACAGATGACCACGGAGGGGCTCCGGGCGGGCGCGAGTCCTGGGGCTGGCCCCCCTTGGCAGCCTGGACCCCAAGGCCTCAGCCTCCAGCCCTTTCCAGGGCGAGGGCCAGGGCTGCAGACCAGAAGGCCGCGGGGGCTCCTGGGCTGCGGGGTGGGGCTGCAGGAGAGAGGGCTGGCCTGGCCCGGGGGCGGGCTCTGCCTGAGTTCATTTCCTGCCGCTGGAACCAGCCAGAACATGTGCCCCGGTCACTGCTGCCTGCTGCCCGGTAAGTTAGGGCCCCCAAGGGATGGGGTGGGGCAGGACGGCCACGGGTGCCCCCCCAGACTAGGTGGGCCCCAGGGGAGGGGCCAGGCCTTCCCCAGAGAGACACCTGAAGGTGCGGGTCCCACTAAGCAAGGGGCTTCCTTAACCTCTCGCTTCCTGCCCTGAAAATGGGCCCAGCGCCTGCCTAAGCGGGGAGGGTCAGGGACGCTCTCCAGCCCACCCTCTGGTCTCCCTCAGGCCTTCCCCCCAGGACACTCATGCCCTCTCCCCACCCCCTGCTCCTCCCAGACTGGAAGGTGCTTCCATGGGCCCACAGTCTCTGCCCCGGGGGCCGGTGCAGACCCTTATCTTCCTGGACCTGGAGGCCACTGGCCTGCCCCTCTCGCAGCCCAGGATCACAGAGCTCTGCCTGCTGGCTGTGCACAGATGTGCCCTGGAGAGCCCCTCGATGTCTCAGGGGCCAGCTGCCACAGTGCCGCCGCCACCCCGTGTGGTGGACAAGCTCTCTCTGTGTGTGGCTCCTGGAAAGACCTGTAGCCCCGCGGCCAGCCAGCTCACGGGCCTGAGCGCAGCTGTGCTGGCAGCACACGGACGCCAGCCCTTCGACACCCACCTGGCCAGCCTGCTCCAGGCCTTCCTGCAGCGCCAGCCCCAGCCCTGGTGCCTTGTGGCTCACAACGGAGACCGCTACGACTTCCCGCTGCTCCAGGCAGAGCTGACTCTGCTGGGCCTCACCGGTGCTCTGGATGGCGCTTTATGCGTGGACAGCATTGCTGCCCTGAGGGCTCTGGAGCGGGCTGGAGGCCCCGGGCAGTGTGGCAGCAGAGCGAGCTACAGCCTAGGCAGGGTCTACGCGCGCCTGTACGGGCAGGCCCCACCCGACTCTCACACGGCTGAGGGCGACGTGCTGGCCCTGCTCAGCATCTGTCAGTGGAGGCCGCAGGCCCTGCTGCAGTGGGTGGACGCTCATGCCAAGCCCTTCAGCTCCATCAAGCCCATGTACGGGGTCAAGCCCGCTGCCCTCACTGGAACCAAGCCATGTCCATCTGCACCCCTGGCCAGGGTCACCCAGCCCAATGCTGGGGGTGGGCGGCCCCAGGCCCTTCCTCCAGCAAAGGGCCCTGGAGCCCCCTGCATGGAGGGACTGCTGGCCCCACTGGGCCTGCTGGCCTTCCTGACCCTGGCAGTGGCCACACTGTATGGGCTGTCTCTGGCCACACCTGGGCAGTAGGCCAGAAGGAAAGTATAATAAATGCCCCGGACTGGTGGGCGCTCGCCTCCACCTCCTTGGCAGCCTGAGACTCCTGTGCCTTTGTCACATCAGGGGCCTGGGGAGGGGCACAGAAGGGCCCAGGCTCTGTCCCTCACCCTCCCTGGCAGGATGGCCAGGCATCCGAGCCCAGCAAATCAGGGAAACATGGAAATCCCAGTGTCAGATGGAAATGGCGACTGGCCTAATGCTCATCACAGCAACTGAGGCTCTGAAGAAAAGGGGACAGCAGCTCCAGATGTCTGGGTTTATTATAAACATGGGTGCGGCCCCTGGATGTTCAAAACGTGAGTGGTACAAAGCTAGACAGGCTTGACTGGACACTAATGGGGACAGGATGCTGAGGTGCTCACGTCTGGGCCGGAGCAGCCATCGGGGGGCCCTCCACCTTCAGCCCAGCAGTCGTGGGTCCCTGCTGCCAGGACAAACTGGGTGGGGCACAGGGGTCGGCTGCCCTCTAAGGCAGGTGTCCAGGGAGGCAGAGACCATCAAGGCAAGACCCTCCCCCTCTGGGCACTTCAGCCCCACAGCAACCGTCACACATTTTGAAACAGAAAACAGGCAAAATATTTGGCTTAAAGAAAACACTGCAGGGAGGAGACCTGGGCGAGTCGGTGAACAGAGCCCGCCCTGCCTACCTGTGGGGTGCACAGCAGACGTGGGCAGATGTGGCCCCAGACAGCACCTGGGTCAGACCAGGCAGGCAGCTTACCATTGGTGGGGTGGGCTCCGTCTGTGGAGCTGTGACGTCAGGAGGGTGCCAGCCCCAGGGGGTAGGGCGCAGGCCCCGGGCGCTTCAGGGGACTGGACCCCATGGGCGCCCAGCCTCACCAACTGCCTACTTAATGACCTGGTCTCTGGGAGGGTCCCCACAGCCAGGGAACACACCATGGAATAAGCAGTGGCTACCCATTGTGCCAAACCAGGACACGCTGGCATCCTGCCCGCAAAGCCTGCTATCCTCATGTGACGAGCCCCAGGGGGCCGCCTGCAGAGGTCTGGAAAAGAGCTTCCACCCCCTTTGACTTGTGCTTGAGAATTCATGGAAGCATGACTTGGAAGGAGGAGAGAACAGAGTGTAGCCCCACCTGTGGGCACTGCAAGAGGCCCTGTGTACACAGGACCCACAACAGCGCCAGGTCGGGAGCCTCAAGCACAGCGGCCACTCACGAGTGGATGCCAGAGGGCAGGGCTGGGCTCAGAGCGCTGCCTTCTGGGGCTCCATGCAGGCCGGGTCGTAAGGAGGCTGGGGAGCAGGGTAGGGTGAGGCTGCACCTCCTGGGAAGAGAGAGGATGCCGAGTGGCAGTGGGCACGGCGGGCCACCAAGTGAAGGGCAGAGTGGCAGCTACTCACCAGCCAGGGTCCCGTGGTAGGCCGGGGGGCCCGCGGGCTGGGCCAGGTAGGGTGGTGCATACGGCATCGGGTAAGGGGCTGACGGCATCCCAGGCGGGGCCATGGGCTGGTAGCCCTGGTAGGTGTGCCCAGGGTAGCCGGGTGGCACACCTGCAGGCTGAGGGTAAGGGACGTGCACCACCGTGGTGGCCGTGGTGGTGGTCACGACAGCTGCAAAGAGAACCCTGGTTAAGCCCCTGGCTTGCCTCCCACCCCTGCTCAGCCCATCCCCCGTCAGCACCCCTCGCCGCCTGGGAGCCCAGGTGGGTGCACTTACGGTGCGGTTGGCAGCACGTCTTGTATAAACAGCAGCAGGAGCAGGTGAAGCAGATGATGATGGTGACCACAGACAGCACGAAGATGGTCAGGCCAATGGCTATGGCCGCCCCGAACCTGCCAGAGAGCCGGTCATTGACCCAGGGCCGTGCCCTGACCCTGGACCAGCAGTCCAGCCACCCATTCCCAGGGCCGCCCTTGGGCCGGGGGAGACCGGATGACATGCAGCAACTTCTGGGTGTAGCCGGAACCTGTTTCAGCCTTGGCTTCGTCACAGGGCTGCCCGAGTCCGGGCAAGGCTCCTCACTGGGGGCAGGGGAGGGGTTCCTGGGGTTCCCACCCACCCCCACCAACAAATGAGCAGGTGGCCATCGAGTTTGGGCCACAGCCAGGCACCCAGTGGTCGGGGCGGAAAGCACGGGGCTCCGGGCAGACGCCCAGGGTCAGAGGGGGGCCGAGGTGGTGCCGCCAGGATGGCGAGGAGGCCGGCCTGCCGAGCTAGCGCCCCGAGAGGCATGGCCAGGTGGGCAGGCCGAGCCAGGTGGCGATGTGGGGGCTGCCCTGAGGGCAGGCAGACCGAGGGCCCACAGAGCCCCTCGCGGCCCTGCTTGAGGCCAGGCCCGGTTCCAGGGCGAGGCAGATGCTCGGGAGCTGCACCCAGCACGTTAAAACATGGGAGGTGGGCAGGGGGGACCCGCCCAGGGGGCTGCGGCTGTCCCCTCAGCCTGGCCAGCACAAGCCTAGCTGGCTCCCGCCCGGCCAGAGGGGCCCGCGCCCGGCCTGCCCGGGGTGCCTCCCTGACCCTCTGCCGCCGGGGTGGAGAAATGCTCATCGGGATGGGACTGCGGGGTCCCCTCTCTCCCGGTCTCCCACACAGAGTAAGGCATCCATGCTCACCCCATGTCAGCCTCCACCTTCGCCCAGGGGCCGCCTGCACCCCTGGACCTTCCCTCTTTCCATCACAGAGGCGGACACTCCACGTCAGTTTCGATCTTTCAATCTCCTCCCCTTTGAGGAAAAGGAGAGCGAATCTCAGCCCGCCCGTCGCTGACGTCAGTGCCAGGAAGGCCTGCGGGGCTCCTTCCAGACACAGCCCGGCCCAGGGGCGCCCAGGGCCAAACACCAGGTGGGCCCAGCTGCTCAGAGGGGCTCAGAGGAGCAGGACGGCCAGGAGGGGACAGGGGAGCAGCCCGAATCGGGGGGGGGGGGGAGGGGAGGGCGGCCGCGGGGGTGGAGGGGGGAGGGGAGGGGAGGGCTGGAGGGCAGCAGGGGTGAGGAGCGGAGGGGAGGGCAGGGCGCCGGCCGCGGGGAGGGGAGCTCCCGGGCTGTCCCCGCAGGGAGGCTGCCCTGCGGCCTGGAGAGCTAGCAGGGGCTCTGAGGGGGCCCGCCCCAGCCACCCCATCCCTGCCTTCCTTCTGCCTCCCGCCCACCGGCCAGCCCACCCTTTGGGCGCCTCGTCCCCACCCGTGCACCCGCGCACACAGTGGTCTGCTCGCTGCCCGTCCTCACCGGGAGATGCCCCTGCCTCGGGGGCCCGGGCCATCCGGCCCTATCTTATCACTCGTGGATACCTGCTCAAAAGCCTACTGTGGCTCGGCGGCTCCCAGGACCGCACGGGAAGATGCTTTGTGGTTTTCTTGTTAAACGGTGTCTGTCCGTACCTCTCTGTATGTATATTGTAATTGACAAAAGAAGAAGAAAAAATGAAGGGTTTGTTGCACCAGATCGTAAAACTAACGTAAGGCAAATTATACCTTTAATTAAAAGTCTAAATAAAACTTCTTGGTGGCCATGTGTTCACTGCCCTCCTTCAGCATCAGGAAAGCCACATGGTCTGACCTCAGGGCCTTGGCACACAGTTCCTCCTGCCTGCGTGGCCCACCCCCAGCCTTCACCCTTCAGACCTCAGGTCCAAACACCACGTCCCCAGGGACACCTTCCCTGACCAGGTTCCAGATGAAAGTGGTTTGGGGAGCAAATCTCTCTCTCCGTATGTCAGTCCATAAACAACACGCTCTTCGTGTGAGCATCTGACAAAACTACATCCGGCCTCCAGACTGGGGATCTACCGAGACCCAGATGTACCCGAGTCCCCAGCACCAGGCATACAGCAGGTGCTAAACATCTGGTGAGTGAATAAACAGAGGATCCCATGGCAGCACCCAGTGGGACACCAAGGCAGGATGCCCTGAGGAAGCCCAGTAGGTGAGGGGAGGCTGCATGTGCCCGCGGACACGATCCCTTTAAGTGGAAGGAAGGGGGCGCCCACCATGGTGACCTCCCAGATCCAGAGAGCAGGCGCCCAGGTCAGAAGGCACAGAAGGCCAGGTGGGGCAGCACTGGGTTGTCCCTGGGAGGCTGAAGACCCAACATGGATGGCAAAAGGGCTGGTCTAGAGCCCAGGCATGTCTTCCAACAATGCCAAGGGGCAGGCCAGACCTGACCAGCCCAGCAGCAGCTGCCTGGGGCTGAGGTTCTACCACTCAGGGGCTTAAAACAGGATCCAAAGAACCATGAGGGGGCAGCAAAGGAGTTCTGGGGAGGGAACGAACCAAGGGGGCACAGCCACTGACCAGCGGTGGGAGGAGCAGGAGAACCAGCCCACTGCGAGCCTGCAGGGAGCACGGCTGCAGGGCCGTGGCTGAGGACACCAGGCATCCAGCTGCAACAGGCGTGTGGCCTCATCTGGGCCTGACCTGCTGCTCTGCCTGGGGAACCCAAGGGGCCGCCCAGAGCGTCAGCCGAGGGCCAGGGTCCCGGAAGGAAGGGAGGGAGGGGTCTGTGGAGGCAGTGAGCAGGGGCACACAGCCTGGCCAAGGGGACTGGAGTTTGGGGGACCACAGGAGGCCGACACAGCAGCCACGCCTCAGGAGCCCTGACTCGCGTACCATGTGTCCTCACTGCCCCCGCATCTTCACCGTGTGTCACCATCGCCCATCTCTGTCGCCATGGCCGCCACCCACCCACCACCAGCACCCATAATATCTCCCTAGCCACAGGGTATCACTACCACTTCCTACCACCACGCCTGCCTGTCGCCCCGTCACCACAGCTGTTCCCAAGTGCCCCCCTGCACCTGCTGCTGTCACTCCACCCACGCTATGCCCTCGGGTCACCAGTGTTTGCCCAATCACCTGGGTCAATATGGACCCTGCCCTCGGCCTCATGATGGTCAGCCCCTAGCCCCAATGAGGCCACAACTTCTCAATGCAAGGATGAAGGGGCCCTGGTGGTCACACAGTGACAGCTTCTCTGGGGCCACACCCAGTGATTCTGTGTGACCCTGACCTGAGCACCCCGCTGAGCCCCCGTCACCTTCACTGGGAAGATGCACCCAGCCTGCAGGTTTATTACCCTGACATGGGGTCCCTGTCCAAGCTGGAGCGGAACTTCAGCACCAAGCCTGGCTGCTCCAGTGGCTCCAGGTTGGTGAGCACACTGCAAAGGTTAAACCGGGTGATGAACACCCCGGGTCCCACCCAGCACCACAGGCACAAACCGCCTAAGGGCACCTGCGGGCTGGCACAGCAGCCAAGCCTGTATCTGGCCCCAGAGGCGGCCCTGTGGGCCTCAGAGGGATGGTGTCACATGCCCAGCATCTTGGGCCGACGCCACACGTCCCTCTCAGCACACACAGGGATGCTCCCCAGGACAGACCCCCTGCAAGGGCCTGGGCCAGTCCCACTAACTTTGAAAACACAGCTACCACACAAATTATCTTCTCCAACCACAATGGAATGAAGTCAGCGATCAGCAAAGGAAGGCCGCAGTGCTACAAAGTGAAAGAAAGAAAGAAGGAAAGAGGGAGAGGGAGAAAAGAAAGCCAGCCTGAACAAAATTCACACCTTGGGAAACTAACATAGTGCCAAAATGAATGAACAAACAAAGAAATCATAGAGGATATTAAGAAATATGTAGAACTGAATGATGATGAAAACACTACCAGTCAAAATTCATGTAACAAAAGCTGAAGCAATTCTTGGAGGAAAATTTCTATCTTTAATAGTGAGATGGTATGAAACTGGAGAAGATGGGAAAAAGGTAATAAAGCAGACCCCCAAAATAAGAAAGGAATCAGTAAAGGTAAGTGCAAAAATCAAAGAGAACAGCAGCCACAAAGAAGACAGTTTTCTCTAAATGCTTCTGGCCAACTGGATATCCCTATTAAAAAATGAAGTCTGATCTCTCCTTACGCCTACTGCTAGGCAGGTATTTAAAGGAAATGCACACACGAGTACCTAAAGATTCGTACAAGAACGCGCCAACCCACGCAGCTCCCGCCCAGCGTGCCAGGCCATTTCCCAGCCATCCTGCTCACTGGCCACCTCTGGCCACCATCCCAAACAGCCTTGCCCCGTCCCCTGGGCCACAGTAAAGGTGCCAAACTGCACTCCTACCCCCTTCCTCCTGACGGCACAGTGAGCTTTCCTAGCGTCAGTCCGACTGGGCCACACACCTAGAAGACCAGCCTGGTTCCTGCCACCTCGTGATCAAACTGAGCCCACGAAGAAGGGTCCAGATGGCACTGGGCTTGAAGGTCACCCTGACTTCCCAGCCCTATCTGTGCTCTGCCCACATCCTGACTTCACATCTACTCACCCTCCCAGGCCTTACTCCAGCCCTCGCCCAGATGCTGTGGATCCCGGCAGTCACGTGCTGGGCAACAACACCCCACCTGCCGTGGGCAGGCACTGGGTGGCCATTTTTAAATCTCAGCGGGCAACCAGGGCCACCGCCAGGCACTGGGACCTCGGGGCCCACACGGGGCTGTCTCCTGACCTGATCACCACGGTCACAGTGACCACACCCAAACGGGGCACTTATCCCTGGGCTGGGCCTGCAGCAGGTGCCAAGGCAGCGCTCATGCCCAGGGGCCAGGGCTCGAGGCAGCAGCGCCATCTGTAGCCCCATCGCACGGCTCAGCCAGAGTTGGGGTCTGAGGAGTAGGGACAGAGCATTTGGATTCAGGTTTTGCCGAGGGGACCTGCCTGACCAGTGTGCAAACTGACCCAGAGCTTGGGGTGACCACAAGGTCTATAAACTTCCAGGAAGATGGTACAGCCAAATGTTCCCTCTACTGCCCACCAGTAGAAGGGGATGGTCCCAGATGCTGCCTGCAGAGACCCCAAGAGGAACACCAGCCCAGCAAGGCCCAGATGACTATGGCAGACTGGGGGCAGGTCTGATGATGGCCCCTGAGGTGTGGCCATGTCCCCTGGAACCAGTCTGAGCACAGCACTTCATGGTCTGGGGCCCCAGGCTGGCCAGCCTTATCGTGTGCCCTCAGGTCCCTGGAAGAGTGAGGCCCCAAAACAGAGGCACCGAGTGAGCTCCACAAGATAGAACTAGGAAACGCAGCTGGGAGGGTGCTTTATTCTTGGCAGCTCCAGGGAGAGCCTGCTCTGGGCAAAGCCTTTCGTGGGGCAGAGAATGGGACCACCAGGCTCAACACAGCCAGCTGCCACCTGACAGCAGGTACGTGGGCTGCCGTGGTCAGCGCCAGGGACCCCCCCACCGGCAGGGGCTTTACGGCCCCGCACAGCCACAGCCCGTGCCCCAGACCGGGCTCGGGACACACCTGGGGGCTGGACTGAGAGCCCTCGGCGCATGCTGTCTGCTGGGGACCGTGCTCCGGGCCTCACCGGGCCAGCGCTCAGCCCTCCTCACCTCCCACCCCAGCGCTTCCAGACTCTCCTGGGGTAAGCTGCCGCCCAGAGAGCTTCCGCTTCCGGAGGCTGGGCAGGGGGCCCTCCAGGTCCCACCGCTGAGAGGCCCCCAGCCCGGCCGGCCGCTCTGTGAGTCACCCCTCCTCAGCAGCACACACAGCGGTCTCCAGCCCAGCCGGCCCTGGTGGTCTCCGGGCCACGGGGGGCACAGGAGCCAGGGAGCGGGCTGGGAGAGGGCCTCTGAGGAGGGTCAGCTCTCCCTGCCGCCGCCACCCCAGCCAAGGCCACGCAGGGAGTCCTCCCCAGCCTCTGGGAGGCCCAGTCCACTGGAATATCAGAGGGGGGACACAGCCCCTACCCACCATTCCAGGCAAGAGTGTCAGTGCAGGGGACAGGTCAGTCCAGAGGTTCACACGCTGCCCCGGGGTTACGGGAAGCGGCTGGTGGGGCGCTGGGTACGGCCTGGGCTCAGGGCAGGTGGGTGCCCAGCAGGCTTCTCTCGCCCCCAGGGCTCTCCATCGGGTCAGCCTCCCACCAAGACTCACACGCACCCCTCCCCCAACCGGCCCCCTCGAACCCCGGTCCCCACTCCCTGGCCCCCTGGCTCCCCGCCCTCAGGGCACCTCCAGGGACAGCCCAACACCCGCCCGGGACTCACGCCCCCACCCAGGGAGCTCCACGGGCCTGCCTCCCCGCAGGCCCACTCTCCAGGGCGCAGGGCCCTGCGAGGCCCTGGATAGGCGGCGGACACACGGCCGCACGGACGGAGCCAACACGCCGGAACCTGCAGCCTTCTGGCCTCGCCCACCTGCTGCGGGGCCCCTGCGGGAGAGCGCGGAGCGGGGCGGGGCCCCTGCGGGAGAGCGCGGAGCGGGGCGGGGCCGGGCCGGGAGGGCGTGGGGGCGGGGCCCGGAGGGCGCGGGGCGGGGCCGGGAGGGCGCGGGGGCGGGGCTGTCTGGTCTGGTCAGCGCCGTGCTCTGCGGCCCCCGCGCGCAGCCCTTCCCTTCCCTGAGCTACGTGGGCACCAGGCGAAGGGGCGCTCAGGCGTCGGGACGCGGAGCAGCTCCCCGCACACAGCAGGCGCCCCGGGGAAAACGGGTCCCCTTCTGGAGGCC